TGCCACAGTCAACAAACAACTCAAGGAACCACAGAGATACCTGAAACTAGGGGAGTGCACTGTGATGATTCGCCGAATAAACTTGGCTGTGAGGAACCAAGGTTTTTCGTTTCATCAGCAACCCTTTAGTGTTTGAAACTGTGATAAACAGCTGTGTTTCAAGAAATCTGTTCTATTAATTGGCATGTTTTCTGAAGTGGCATGTCTCCTCTTACGCTCTTTGAGATGAAACCCATGCAATGGCTGGCTTTCATTCTCTATAGAATATAGACAAGGAAAATGGATGGGTGACTAAGATTGATAAAAGCTTTGAGAAACTAAGCAGAGGAGAATCTGCATTGCATTCATCCAGAACATGATTAAGCTATGTATATGAATATAGTATTTCAAATGACAATGAAGCCAGTATCCACAACTGAGTCATCTGAAAGGAACTGGAAATAACTTATGGCTTCTAATATTAAACATGCGTAACTTGGAAGACTTCATGAATGCAATTAATTTTTTTTTATTACTAGCTTGTTCTGAAACTTGGCTGATAACACTCGCGTTGGGTAACAAACACATCACACATGACAGTCACACACTTTGCCGAACAACTGTACAATAGAAGCTATTTTATTGCTAGGAATTGCTCATTAAGGAGGTGCTAAAAATTTTCTCATAGCAAGGCTAGGCTCTGCAAGCTTACAGGGATAAATACTCAGTAAAAATCCTTGACTGGAGAAGTTTTGGACCCCAAATTCATCCCTGTTTGTTGGTTCTCAACTTCCTTGTAACTGGACAGTTTCACTGTCACTTGTGCCAGTACAATAAGAGAACACCAGGCAAAAGCAAAATTCCATACAGTCATAGAGTCACAGGCTGGTTTGGGTTGGAAGAGATGTTAAAGATCATCCAGTCCCACCCCCTGCCCCGGGCAGGGCCCCCTTCCCCCAGCCCAGGGGGCTCCCAGCCCCGTCCAACCTGGCCTTGAACCCTTCCAGGGAGGGGGCACCCACAGCTGGCCTCCCCCCCCACACAGGGAAGAATTTCTGCCTTAGATCTCACCTAAATCTGCCCTTGGTCAGTTTAAAACTGTCACCCCTCGTCCTACCCCCACCCCCTGACCCAGAGTCCCTCCCCACCTTTCCTGTCCCCCCTTTAAGCCCTGGGAGGCCGCTCGAAGGGCTCCCCAGAGCCTTCTCTTCTCCAGGCTGAACCCCCCCAACTCTCTCAGCCCGGCCTCCCAGGGGAGCTGCTCCAGCCCCCCCAGCATCTTTGTGGCTTTCTGCTAGAACAGGCCACAAGTGATACAAGGGCTAGGTGGCATCATTTTTCAAGGCTCCAGAAGTCTCCCAAGTGCTGCAACTAGTGAAGCTTTAAGGGACAAAGGGCTGAGTGTGGGAAAAATGAACATGTAAGGCTACCCGGGAAAACCCATTATAAAACTGTGGGGCTTCCCAATTAATCATGATTCTTACCATTACGTTAAAGAGCATCTCTATCTATATGCTGCTCCTCAATTACTTCTCACACAGAATACAGACATACAGATTTGGAAAAGAGATGCTGTCATGTACAGTAAGAATATCTGTTGACTAGTGACAGTTCTCAAATTACCCATTATTTGTCTCAGCCTTCTGCAAATGAGTTAAAAGGTCTACAGCCCATCCACAGAGAGGACAAAATGTTGCATCTCCTGTAGACATTAAGCACTCAAGTAACTTTCCTAATTCTCTTTTTGCTCAAAAAGGCTTTAGAACATCAACAAAAAGTACGAACATTTTAACTGACAAACATTAGACACTGCTAGACTTTACAAAGAACATTCTGAACACAAATATGCTTAAGTCAGCATGTCCTTTTTAGACTGAATTACTAAACAGTCTATTATTACAAAATTCTTCTGGTTAAAATTCAGAACAATCAATTTTTGTAAAAGAACACACCCCATAATACTGCAGGCTGCACTGCTCAGCAGACTCAAACAGGTAACCTCGGCTGTGGTAAACTGAAATCTAAGACCTCTTCAGAATAACCTCACATGGCCTGAAAGTACAAACCAGAGCCCATAGAATTACAAACACAGGTAAATTTTAAAAGAGTATTTAATCTCAAAAAATATCAAAAATATCGTAAGATGGTAAGAAGAGCAGTTTGCTTTCATAAACACAAGAGTCACAAAGTATGTATGATTTAACATGCATAACCAAGAATTAATGCATTGATATATATATGGGGTCATGTCAGGTAATGGTGAGTGTGGGCACATGATTCCATGATTTAAAAAAAAAACTCACAACAAACAAACAAAAAGTAGCTCTTACTTTGTATATATTATGTTTATTATTAAAAGTAAACATTTAACTATGTAACAGATATCTCTTAAAAAAGAAAGTACAACATATTACTACTTTTGTAGTCTTGAAGAAATCAATCTGTTCAAGCTGACTCAGCTGTAAAATTGGCAGGTTCTAAAGCTATCAAGAAATACAGATGCTTAAATGTTCTTCTAACCAAAATCTAACTGGAGAAAGTTTGCACCACATAAAGAACATTAACACACAATATAATATGACTGCACCATATATACAAGGAGGAAATTTTGAACTTTGCTGAAAAATTTATCTTGTATAAACAATGCATCAACCAAGCTATAATTCAAGTTGGAAGTTATTAAGAATGAATGTTTGCTACTACACAGAATTTCAGTAATCTATACATTTACTGAGCCATTGTATAGTTACAAAATTTACTTTGAATCCCTACCCTCTGCTCCTTCAAACAGTGCTGCAGAAGACTGGGTAATATACTTTAGGACTCCTCCTTGTGCTTTTTTAGTGTTTCATATGAGATCACCGTACATGTTTATTTAGAAGGCCGGAACTTAATTATTTTGCTTTTTAACACCAAATCTCAAGCAGCTGCTTTGAAATATAATACAGCTCACCACCCACATTCCACTATCAAATGTGGAAATTGCAAGAAGCCTTGCACCTGTAGCAAAAATTCTGCAGCTCCACCCATTTGTTAGAGCTGAAACTTAATTTAGCCTTGTTGAACCAAGTTAGCCAAGGAAACTGTGACTAAGGCCAGTACAGGGGGGCTTCTACCATGTTTTGGTACTGTTTTCCAGTAACTACTGGAGTAGCAGTAGTAGAGAGACTGCTAGAGAGTGTTTTCTGGCACTCTCTACTCTGCTCGTTTTTGATGAATGACTCTCAAATACAGCCAGATACAAACTGGAATTGACTCAAACCCATTTTGTTTTTCCTAATCTTTGCATGAAACAGGTGTTAATCTCAATGGAGTCTGGGGATTAATCAAAGACAGACAAGTATTTTAACATTCAAACCACTATTTACAGCTTTCACAACTTGAGAGAACTGATGAAAGATCCCTCACATAAGCCTAACAACGTAATGTGACAATTCGTGGGTTTCGTTTGGGGAATTCTTTGTTTTAGAAGCAGCTAAAGGCTAATGATGACAAGCAGCAACAATGACAGTATAAAAAAAGTTTATCATGATCCTTAGCAAGGACAACAGAATACCCGATTTATAATTATCTTTATGGAAGTAGCACCTTTATTTTTCTACTAAAATGAGGTCATACAATCAATTCTAAGTATTAAAGACTGACAGCTCTAGCAATTGTTTCTTCCTAAATAATCTAAATTCCCTGAAGTGCTTTGCTTCAGACACTGGAAACATAAAAAGTCCTAATTATCATGAGAGCATATGCAGAGTGATGTCTTACTTCCTCTTTAACACCTTTTCTGTTCTGGTTGATCAATATCCTAGAATTCAGTGGCCTGCTTAATTCAGAATTGCAAGCTACTAGGAACAGAAAGCCTTTGTTCCAGCTTGACTGAGTACTCATACCTCTGCTCTTGCTGGAAGGTTACCATGGATCACCAGAAATATATACACCAGACCTGAAAAGGAATCATCACTAAGCCACCCAAAAATACACTGATTCAGAGCAATTCAAGACAAGCTGGCCTGGCTGGTCTCTGCCAGCTCAGTCATAAATCAGGTTGTTCTCCTGCACAACTACCTGTGAGAAAATCTCTCTGCCACTAAACAGCTTAATTTCACAGTTTTATCATTTGTAACTACGAGAACGGAATTTATCAAATCTTTGTGACAAAGAACTGAATACCACAACGTGATGTGTCGAAGGATTTTCTCGGTAAAGCAGATTTTTATTAGCACCTTGACTCACCACATAATCTAAAGGAGAGTACCTATTAAAGAGCAGTTTGTTTTGTAGATAACCCAGGTAGCAGTTCAAACACAAGTAATTCCAGATTGCCGAGACATTCATCTCGATAAACACAACCGGTTTGTGATGCAGTCTATAACCACACATAAGCACGGGCATATGCAAGACACTGACGTTAACAGTTTCTACAGCGGACTCTGAGCAGCGCAGCACCTCGCAAGGGTGGAAAAATCCTAGCCCCGAGCCTTGGGCTGTGCCGCTGGAAACAAACCGCACCCCAGCCCTGACCTAAACGTGAAAAGCCAACAAGGCAAAGCCGATGGCTGCTTGGGTGACCGAACCACAGTCGCACCCGTTTGTTTCTAGGCTGTCAGGGGCGGCAGGACGCATCAGTGGGAATGCACCAACAACAACAACTACCACCCCCCCACCCCCCCACCCCCCGGGCCCCGCGCAGGGCTGGCCAGCGGCGGCGATGGAGGGCTCGCCCTGCCCCTCGGGACTACCGGCCGGCGCGCCCGCTTGCCCCCCCCCCTCCCCCCCCCGCTGGGTTCTGTCGGTCGCACCGCCGCCGGCGCGGGGCCCAGCGGGCGGCCGCGGCCACCGGTGTCCCCGGGCGGTGGCCGAGCCTGCGCTCGCCTCTCCCCCCCGCCCCCCCCCCCCCCGCCGCCAGCCCGGCCGGGGCGGAGGCGGCGCGGGGGCGGGCGGGAGGCGGGCCCGGCGCTGGGCCCGGCGCTAGGCCCGGCCCGGCCCGGCGGGGGGCGGCGGGCGCTGCGCAGAGCCCGGCTCCCCGCGGCGGCGGGCGGAAGGGCGGAGGGCGGCAGCGCCATGCCCGGCCCGGCGGCGCCGGCGGGACCCGGCCCCGACCCGGAGGAGAGCTACGACTTCCTCTTCAAACTGGTGCTGATCGGGGACGCCAGCGTGGGCAAGACCTGCCTGGTGCAGCGCTTCAAAACCGGGGCCTTCGCCGAGCGCCAGGGCAGCACCATCGGCGTGGACTTCACCATGAAGAGCCTGGAGATCCAGGGCAAGCGGGTGAAGGTGAGGGGAACGGCGGCCACGCCGCCGCGGTTGCGGGGCTGGCGGGGAGCTGGGGGTCCCCTCCCGCCCCCCCCCGGGCCGGCGGAGGGGGCGGCCCTGCCCGAGCGCAGCCCCCGCTGCCGCCCGGCCCCGCGCTGCCGCTGCCCCCGGGACGGGCTGCCCAGCGCCGGTGCCGCCTTCCCCAGCGGCTGCCGTGGGCGAGGAGGGACCGAGCGCATCTGGTCGCTTGTTTTGGCACAAGGGGACCCGCCGGGCCGGCCCCTCGCTGGCACCACAGCAACGCTGGTACGAGCCCCGCTGCAAACCCGGGCTCGGGGACCGGTGCGCTGGAACTGCAGCAGCCCTCTTTCCAGCCGGGCTGCTGGCGATGGTCTGTTTACGAGCCAGAAGGACCCTCAGCTGGACTTATTTCCAGAAAGGGATGTGGAACTGGCAGGTTGAGAGAAGCTAGGGAGCGGTTGTTAAATTAAGCGTATTTAAAAGTTATTTTAAGACGCTGTTTCCAGGGTGTCTCAGAAAGTGCAACTTCTGTAGATCTTCTCAAACCAGAAGCGATCAACCCTAAATTTTGCTTCTGCTTTTCTTATGCCGGAGAAAATCAGCTAGTCGTTAGGGTTAGAAGGAGGATAGGACATTTGCCCAGGGGAATTATGCTCAGGCTCTCAGTGGCACAGATTCCCTACACCAGACTGAGCTGCCAAGAACAGAAACACTGTCAAACAGCCGGGAAAAACGGCTCCGAGCACCTGCAGCTTGTAGGGGGCTACTGGCATCAGTCCCGTCACCAGCCCCCTCCGGACTGGAGTCATACGACTATCCTCACTTATCTCCAGTGGGACTGAAAATAACTAAATGCAGTCACTGTCTGATGATGAAACTGTAAAGCTTCTGGTGACACAGAAATACGGTCATTGCAGCTGAATTTTGGTCTGTGTTTACCAAAGTATGTGTCAAAGTCCTCTATTGTCCTTTTCTTCTAAATTAACTTTGGTGAGCAGAATATTAGGCAGAGAAAGTTGTAGATAATGGAAGAAATAGAGGCTTACAATTTTTAAGAAAGAGGGGAGTTAGAAGTTCCACACCTAGCAAAGGTGTTTGTTTTATTGGTAGTATTGTACTTTTTCCTGTCATGTCTAGCAGGGGTTAGCAGATTAAAAGAAAACTCAGATTTCCTGTTTGTGCTTTCTAGCACTTCTGCGCTTTCTAGCAAGTGAGCTGTTAGAAGTGGGGTTTCTCCCTTAAGGGTGGAACCTGCCTCCATTGAGATGCCAGGCACACAGACAGTGGCAAATGTGTCTGTTCCTGGTGCCAGGGTTCTCCGCGGGGCTTCAGGAGTAGGGGAGCACTAGCCCAGGAAATAACGCAATGTTCCGAGGTGTGCTTTTCAGATTGTCAGTTTTTACACCTGAATATTCCTTTATTAGTAGTCAGTGTGTTACAAAATCTCTAGATTGTATCTAAGTATTTTACAAACGAACAAGTAAGAAAATGCAGGCTCCTGAGGCTTTCTTTTGCTTTGGATTGTTCTGTACTTAGAAAAAAAATTAGGGATGCAGAGATTGGAGAAGAGTACTTTAAGCATTACTTTAGGCAAATTAATCCAACATTGTTGCAGACTTTTTGTTAGCTGCTGAGTAAGGGACACATCTAGAATATGAAAACATTTGCTTGGTGTTGGTTTTTTTTTTTTTGGTCTATTAAGGTGTGGGTTGTATATGAAGTTTAAATTCCAGTCAGGCTTTTCCAGTTGGATTGAGATCTTGGAGCAGTCCATCTGATCTGGGTAGGTTTGTTCAGCATGCTATAGGAAACAGAAAATAAGGGGGCATTTTATTTTGCTTTCGTGAGCTCCCTATAAAGTAGGCGAGTGGGTGTGTGTATCTTGCACATTTTACAAATTTGGTTTTGGTGTAGGTTATAGTGATTCTAGGAGGAGGACTTCAGCTATCTGAACAGATCATATCCTAACATGTTAGTAAACAAGCCTGTACATGTGCTCTGTGAGAGATGCACTGTGTTTCTCATTGTTCCCGTCTCAGTCACGTGAGACATACTTGTTTGAAAGAGTTTCAGATAAATTGTTGATTGGGATGCCTTAAATCAAGAAATGTTCAGGACGTGTTTCAAATAAAATCTCTTTGACCTTGCAAAAAGGTCTTTGCAAAAGCATGCCAGGTGATTCTCTGTGCTGCTCCAATTTCATTGTGGGTTTATGCTACTCAAGACAGTATCTTCATAAAGAATGCGAGGCTTGTTTTCTTTAGCAAATGGTGCAGGAATAAGATTCTCATTTTTATAATGTTTTATAAGATCATCTTTAGAAGTTCCTTCGGAACAAGAGTGTGTACAAAAAAAGTCCCAAAGAGCTTTTGAATACTACTTGCTCTGCATCCCTAGTGGCCTAAGCTTCATTTTTAGTCAGTCTAAGGATAGTATTACAACACAACTGAATGAGTATGAATCAGACACTTATTCTGAGATCAAAACAAACATTTTAAAGTTAATTGTGTTAGTGTCTCTGTTTAAAACTTCAAATGTTGTTATTGCAGTTATGTAATGTTTCTGAAACATTTGGAGTCCAGGGATTTTAAGTCTCCCTTCCTTTTGATGCATTTTGGTTGGATAAGGCAAAAGAAGCATGTTAGGACACTAAAGGTTAAGGTTCTACAAATAACTTTATTTTTTTTTTAACTCAAGGTTTTCCTTGCATCTTAAAGCTGTATTCTTTCAAGTGTCTCAATATTTCATACCCTACTGCTTCATCAGCTACTGAAGCTGACTAAACTCATACATAAAGAGACGTTAGTGCTTGAGAAAAGAGCTATTCATGGACAGTCCTGATAACTGAAGCTTTCTCTTTAGAAATAAAACTGGAAAGTGCCAGTATCATAAGCTTCTGCCATATGTGCTAACCCTGATTTGCAGAGATTTGACACTTCCACAGAGTGCTTGTCTGTGCCATACAGTCTTCTGTTTCTCTTCTTGTTTTTTTTTCTGTAAGACCTCCAACTGCAATTTGAGATACTGTCCAGTGGGACCATACAAGCCGGTTGCCTCTGGGCCAGGCTGTTGTGAGCCATGGGCTCCTGGAGGCGTTGGAGCTCCAAGACAGGCTGCGTGGCACAGAGCTGGGCGGGAGTTTGGCAGATCTGACAAGCAGGGTTCCAATGGAACTTCAAAGTCAAAGCTACCTGTGATGACCACATTGATTTTTATCACAAAGGCAAATTCTGATGAGCATATATCCAGAATTTCCCTGCCTCCGCTTTGTGAAATGTCTGTAGTCTATCTTAAAAAAAAAAAATGCTCTGGTATATGCTGTTTAATAGGTTGAAATCGTGGCATGCTACTCTATAAAATATATTCTTAGCTGGCTAAATCCTAGAGTACAGACTGTCGTCCCCAAAAGTTGCAGTTGTTGACTTAATGCATACTGATTGAAGTTCTATTGATAAAATAATTACTTGTTCTTTGAATGATAGAAAGAACTGGGCAAACACAACAAAAATGTTTTGTAACTGTTATGTCACTGCACAAAAAGATACTTATAACATGGTGGAACTAAGATTTTTATATAATGATAGAGAAGGACATTCCTAAGTCTAAGTCCATGAATCGTGGTTAGTAATAACAAGATTCCTTTTCTTTTGATGAATTTCCTGATAAATTAATTGGGTATCTTTAATGTCTACTTTATGCTGTCATTTCATAGTGTTTTACATATTGAATACTGGTTTTCCTTTATGCCATAGGTTTTTTTTTTTCCTCTAGATATATCTTTCAGAAAGCACCAGGAGACAACTTTTGAAAACACACACATTCATTTTATAACAAATACTTCTTTATGTATCATTGCACTTTTTAGTTTAGAAGCTTTTTCAGCCCATGTGATATCAAGATTCTTGACTTTTATTCAGGCCTTATGGCTGTAACTATATTCCTTTCAAAATGGCCCAAAATGTAATATGTCATTATTTGGCCAAATTGCAAGTAATATAAAATTATGACTTGTTAACTGTCTTGTCTCCTGACTGTTGTATTTAATAATACTGCTAAACAAATACAAATGAAGCTATTGGTTATTACACGGAAGCAATATTCTTTGATATCCAGAGGAAAATGCAGCTCTCTGTCGACTACTTTGACCCGTAATGCTAGAGCAAACAGGAATGTTGCATTCCCAGCAAACAGGGATTCCTCATTCTCTGAAAATTTTGTAGGGAAACAATTGAATGGAGCAGTTTATCCTAACTGTTCAGTGTATGAGTATCACTTTACATTGAAATACATTGCCATACAGATGTTGGTTTTGTTGCTTTTGGCAAAAAATGTACAGATTAAGTTGCAAGATTGTTTCAGTAAGTATTTTTTTAGGAGCAAGTGTTGTGATTTGCCAGTGTACAGAAATGTATATTATTGTTTGACATTTGAGATGACAGGATTTAGACACAGTCAGTTGGTTAAAGATCATTTAACATGGTATTTGCGTCCACCATTTCACTACCAGGAAATTTTATTGAAGTTGATGTATTTTGAAGAATTCACAGCACAAAAGTGACATTTCTAGCTTTGTAAAGGAAGCTATCGGGTGTAGGATGTACTGAGTTATTATTAATGCTGTTTCACAGGCAAAAGTAAACCTGAACTCCTGTGACATTTTAGAAGAATCGGGAAAGTACTTAATAAATTATGGAGGAAGTAAGGTAGGGAGAAATTATTTAACGTGTCTTGAAGCCATTTGTTAAGCATAACAATATGTTTATCAATGCAAGAAGAATCCACATCAAACTATTTGATAATACTCATTCAGTATGCTCTTTGGTCAACCCGTCACTCATCATTTTCAACACTTTGTCTATCTCTGTAGTGGAAACTCTGCTTTCTTTAAGCCTAATCAGACATCCCAGAATGATCATCCAGAGACCTACCTTCTGTTTTCTTCCTTACATCAAGTTGAAACATTCCTTGTTTCAATTTTTTTCTGGTGTCTCTCATCTTCCCATCATGTGCCATTGTGAAGAGCCTGGCTCAGACTTCTTGGTAACCTCCTCATAGGTCCTGGCCAGCAGCTAACAGGTCATCTCAAATCCCTCTCCCAGGCTGAAGAAGCCTGTTTCCCTCGGACTCTTCTCTCAGGGTATGTACTCCGATTACCTGACCGTCTTGGTAGCCGTCTGCTGAACTTGCTCTCCTCATTGTCTTGTGCAGGGGGCCCAAAACTGAGCGCAGAAAAAAAAAAAAAGGGGAGTAATCACCCAGCTTCGGCCTTGTCGGTACAGCTGGGGGTGCTGCCAGGGCGCAGTGCTGGCTGGGGCCCAGCTTGCTGTCTGCAGAGACCCCCAGGGCCTGGGGGGGCCAACACACTCCCTGTGTGCTCCTTCCCCACGCGGCAAGGTGAAACAGCAAATATGAAAAGATGTTCAAGACTTTGTCTCCTGGACTTACGGAAAGATCCAGTTCTGCAGTGATTATATGGAGTCATGAAAAATCTTACGGGAGTCAGTAGTTGGTTTAGCGCTTTGCTATTCAGTACCAGCCAGTGCTAGGGGCTCTGCTGCCCAAAAAATTGAAAGCTAAAAAGCAGATCAAAATAACCAGCTTTTGTAAGTAAACAGGCATTCAGTAGTGAAACAATCAGCACGAGAAAGGTGGCTCCTTGTCTTTGTTCACTTAGGGTATTCTGTCATATTCCTTCTGAACAATGGGTATTTATTCTCCATTCTTTAGCCTGTCCTCATTTGTTCCTGGGGATGGTCCCCCTGAAGGCCTGCTGCCCATCTCTTATTTTTATTTCATAGGTGTTTTTTCTTAGTATCCTCAGATGAATTTAACACAGTTCTCTAGCAATCCCAACTTCTCTCTTTCTTACACCAGAATTGTTGCCAAGGTAATTACAAAATCAGGCGTTGCTTAAAAAGGTTACTAAGTGACAGACCTGGCTTCCATCACATTATTTATAAGGCAGAAGCACTTAAATTGAGGAAATTAATAATTAAGAACTTTGTGTCACATACTGCATATGTGATACACAATACAAAAGAATATATGACCATATCTTTTTTTGTAACCTGTGCCTTTTTTTTTTTTTTCCAAAGATGCAACTGTTATTTCTTGTTAAGAGTTACATACTTGTAAATATAGTTTAACAGAGAGACTATATAAAATTTTTACTAGAAAATGGTGGTTTTCAGTTCTAGTTGTGATTGGTATTTATATATAGTTGTCATGTGTCTTTTTCAATAGAACTGTATGAAATGTACCTCTGTACACCTTCTGAAGAAGACAGTGTTTACTTAGGATCAGAACTGGTATTTTTGTAATGACTTAATTTTTTTTAATCATGTCAGACTGATTCATGCTATACAGAAATATTTTTTCTTAGAGTTTTCTAAAGTTATTAAAACTCCAAACAGTGTGACAGGGCAGGTTTTCAAGCTTCCAAATTGTAAGGAGCAAGTTGTTATTCGCCCCCCAAAAGTGCTTTTGCACACTGAGTGTGCTGCAAGGCAGGCTGATTTGCAGGAGCCGAAGCTACTGTCTGTGGGGGAGGCTGTGCCAGGGCTGCGCTCGGCTTCAGGGGAGCTCAGCGGGTCCGTTCGTTCCCGCCTTTGGCAGCAAGTAGGCTGAAGGGGCACAGGCAGGATTGGTGCGAGACAACTTTGCCATTTCTATAAAGCATCCTTGCACCTTCCTCCCTGTGCAGGCTGTGTGCTTTCAGTAACATGTGGCTGTGCGATTAGTGTTAACTCTTCAAACGAAAGGGAAAACTCTAGTTTTCATTTACATCAGTGAATTAATCTATATGGTGAATCAGATTAACAGGTGCGAGTTGCAGTGAAGGGAGAGGGCAAGGATATGCAGCTGGGATGGCAAGTCTTTGGTGACAGTATTGTTGAGCAAGTCTCTAAACCATATCTGTATTTGACTGACTATCCCTAAAATGAGGAGTGAGCGCTCACCTGGCCCCTCCTGCCAGCAGAAGTGGTGGGAACAGGGACACAGAGGTGTGTCAGTTGGTATATACGTTTGCAAAGAAAGTATTTGCCTGTGGATCTAATACATACTGTAGTGTCAGCAATGAAAGCAAAACCACAACGAACTGAAGATCATGTAAAAAGCTAAATGGTTCAGAGTCCTTACACAAAAGAGGAGTGGTAAGTAGGGGAGCACAAACTTCAAGTGCCAGAGGGAAGAAGCTTGCTTGGAGGATGTGGGCTGGGAGGAAGGCTGATGCTTGAGTTCCTGAGAAGGTCAAACCTGTGGTCTGTGCTGTTCCCAGCAGGACGCTCAGGACTTCAGCAACTTTGTACATTCAGTCCTATGAACACACATACATAAATGCTTGAGTAAAAAATGTGAGGGGGTGCTGTGAGCTCTTGCTGGTGACATTCTGAGGTTGCTCTATCACTATTGAAAGGCTGTGAAAATTGGGGAGGACCAGAGAAAGGCAAATATCATACTTATCTTCAGACAGGGCAAGAAATCCTGGGAACTACAGGCTGGTCAGACTCATGTTGGTCCCTGGGAAAATCACAAAGCAATTCTCCCTAGAAAAATTAAGTTTTGACCCTACTCTGAGCAGGCAGTTGGCTCTGTCATCTCCTAAAATCTGTCCCAACTTCAATTTGGTGATTCTATGGAATGTACTTATATAGAGGTTTTCAAAATCCGGTATACAGCACAAGGCCCAAGACTGGCTTGTTCAGTCACTCTGCATGTAAATCACTTTTATTGATAGATACCATGTGAAATGTGTAAGCTAAAACAAACTTTTTTTTTTTAATTTAAAACGTTTGTAATTCATCTATATACACAGAATCTCTCAAACCTCTCCCAAGAGTTGGGTAATCATCATTAGCCTTGTTTTGCACTTGACCTAATCAAGTATTGAGATTTAAACAGCCACAAAGGTCTAGTGGGAGACTTGAGTACAGAGAACATCATACATAAACCTGCCATGAACTTCCTTGTCTCTAATAATTGTCTGTTGACTGCTCTAAATCATTATCTGCTCCATTACTAATCGTTGCTTTGTGGCTTTCTGTTTTTTGAGTCCATTACAGTCCCTTTCCCTTCTCTGAGCAAACTCTCACTAAGACTGAGAAGTACTTTTTCATTGGATTGATTCCTTTTAGGCTGTACATACGTCATTTGGGATCTAAATGCTTGGTTAGCACAGGAAAATGATCTGATCAGTACGGCCTTTTCCAAAGTGAAAGCTGCTGCTCAAACGTGCTGCAGCGTCAGAAGATACAAACAAAATACTAATGTGCAAAAGCAATAAATGGAAAAATGATTCCATATTATTTGGTATAAAATCTCACTGGCACATTGTGTTAAGTTGTTGTCAGCTTTTTAAAATAAAGAAGTTCTGAGGGAGGGGAGATAATAAGGTCTACAATATGGGAAGATTGAAAACCCTGGGAGCATTTGCTTATGTCCTGTCTCAGATAAGAGGAGATGCAGAATATGAGGAATGGCACAAAGAGACAAACACTGGTCTCTCATTCATTATTTGGGGATAGAAAAGTGAAAGTGGAATAGAAGAACAGAAAATATAAAATTTATAAAAGGAAATTCTTTGGTTTCATTGCTACTATATATTGAAGCCAAGAGCTTTGAAAGATTGAAAAAGGATTAGAGATTTATATGGAGAATGAGAACGTCCACAGTTACTTTAGATTAAAAGCTCCTGAACTATAAGCCATCATGTTCCAGGACATTAGACAACCTATAAAACAAGAGGATTTAAAAATAAATTTTCCCTATAAGCAGGATGTTGTGTTTCTCCATTCGAAATTATTTGGCTTCTTCCTCTGGAACATCTAGTACTGGGAACTCAAACCCTGATGCTAAACTCATAGTTCTTATGTTGCTGGATTTAGGCAAAAGTATGTAAGCTAAGCATTCCTTTTTCCTGCCCAGATGTAATGTCTGTTCTACCACCTAAAAAAGGACAGGTGAATAGGCTGACTGGATCTTTGACTGGCTTTATTGAAACCTAGGATTGCTGGCATTTCTTTTATACATTTTATGTATTCTATATATATTCTTTTAATTGTCTCATGTTTGTTATAAAACAGTATCAGTGCTCTCAGATGATACTACCACATCCTACTCTAGTTGTTGCTGCCCCTGTAGCAGAACTGGCAAAACCATGTCAGCTAGCAAAAACCCACCTGTAGTTTCAGTGACACACCAGATGAACTCCAGTGGCTTGGCTATGGGCTAACATCTTGTTTTGCTAATTCTGCTAGAGAAGGTAGCAGAGGGGTAGGGCTGGATGCGCAAGTGATAATTTCATCATTTGCTACAGAAGGATGCATCAGAGATCACCTGCAGGAACCCACGGTGCCACAGTTGATATAGATATAAACGTTGAGCAGCCAAGTGTGAAAAAGGTTCTTCAGTGTATAGTATCATCCTTAAATCATGTACAAAAGACTAGAAAAATGGGATGCCAGAATGTATTACATATATGGGAAATTTATAACAAGGCTGTCGAATCAAGTCCTATATTTTGATTCAGGAAAGCTTGCTGGCCAGTGTCTCACTGTATGTGTTGGTTTATGTAGTTGCAGATCTGGGACACGGCTGGCCAGGAGAGATTCCGAACTATCACACAGAGTTATTACCGCAGCGCCAATGGAGCAATCCTAGCCTATGATATCAGCAAGAGAGGCTCTTTTCTGTCCATTCCTCGCTGGATCGAGGATGTGAGAAAGTATGCCGGTTCCAACATAGTACAATTACTGATTGGTGAGTTAAAAATATTAATACCAAGTGCTACGGGTTACTGTAAAATGTCATTAGTTGCAATGCTTAAGATGGTTAGAAGTTTTATTTTCAGTTGAAGTTAAGATGTATGGAATAGATCCGACTGGAAATTTTCCCAACTGTTTTTTAATTAGGAAATGCTGCTTCATCAAAACAGAAATGTTTTGCTTTGATTAACTTCTGCTAAGAAGTAGACAGCTGTGTATCAGAAGCCAGCTTTGAATTCTTTGTGTCTCAGTGGAGAACTGGGTACCCAAGGTTTCCAGGTTCTGAGGCACAGCTGCTGTGGAATTATTCTTATGATAAGGATCATAAGGTTTCCAGGGCCCAGAGAAGCTCCATCATATCAAGCCAATGTGTTCTGGGAAACTGGAATACCCACATACTTCAGCAGACAGGGGATTTCAGAAGGACTTTAAGGTGATTGTGATTTGTCAGTTCTCTGCAAGAAGTTCTGTTTCCCAGCTCCAATATTTGACTCGAACACCGCTCCTGGGGCCTGTAGAGCCGCTAATACAACGTCAGTACTATTCTAGATTTCCCTAGGTACCAGTGGACTGCTGTTGTTTTCACAAAATGGTTTTAGCTTTCATTTCTAGCCCATTTTAATTCTGTTAAGATCTACAGCCACCACTCTTCAGTTACTGATTTGTTCTGTTCTCTATATGAGCCATACAGAACTACAGGTTGGAAGGGGCTTAGGAGATTATCTAGTCCAACCTCCTGCTCCAAGTGAGGCTAATGTTAGGTTGGTCAGGACCTTTTCAGTCAAATTTTGAAAATCCCCAAGAATTGGAAATGTTGCAGCGTCTCTCTGCAACCTGAAAACCTCCTGCTCAATACTTTCTCTGACATAACTAGTCATTATAAATTAAGCTGTTTCTTTTTCTTCCAGGAAACAAGTCTGACCTAAGTGACCTTCGGGAGGTTCAGCTGGAAGAAGCTCAGAGTCTGGCTGAACACTATGATAATATCATCTGTGCCATAGAGACCTCTGCGAAAGACTCCAGCAATGTGGAGGAGGCTTTTGTGAAGATGGCTACAGAGCTCATGATGAGGCACGGAGGCCCTATGTTCAGTGAGAAGAATACTGACAGCATCAAGCTTGACAGCAAAGACATTGCAGAAGGCTGGGGGTGTGGTTGCTGATATGAGCTAGGTGACATCCCTAAATTTACTGGAATTTAGATGGTGCTTCACCCTAATGCTGAGTAGCACGGTAGCCATATTCTCCTCCTCCTGTGAAACCAGCGATTTTGTAGAAGTTAGACACAATCCTGTTTGCTTTGGTGTCTTGTTTTTAAAAAGGGACTCTTAAGAGGTAGTCCTAAAAGTCAAACCCTCTGAAAAACTTACTCAACGTTTGTCCCTACCATTTTCTTTCCTGTAGCCTTCATACAAGTTACAAATTGGAGGAAACAACATTGAACTGGTGATGTGGGGTGGGGAGACAGATGGTTGGGGAAGAACCTGATGCACACCCAAAGTTCTGAAGCATTTAGCACGGGACTGTTGGCAAAGGAAGTCACTTTTGGAACAGGCAGTCTTGACAGCGTCTCTTGAAATCCTCAGCAGTCCACCAATGACCAGACAGAGTGTCTTTGATAAAGGTATTTCAAGTGTCAGAATACACAGCGTTTTGATTACAGGACCAAATAGCAGTCACCTGTCCTAGGGCATATGGATTGCTAGCTAGTAGTGAAACAGGCCCATGTGAGAAAGCCTTCTCTCAGGTTTTATTGTAATTTTTTTAAGTTATCATTTTAATAAAAAGCAAAATCAGCCTGAGCAATATCACATGACTTGCTGTCAAGCAGGATTGGGCCAGTGTAGTTATTTTAAATACAGCCTTGAGGAGGGGGTAGATGCATTTCATTTATTATTGTTTGCACAGTGATAGCTCCCTTTTCCAAGTGGGTATCATTGAGTTTTTGCCCTCAGGTCTCATAATTTCATTCCACAACTCAAGACCTGCACCACTGGAAACAGGAACTGGAGAAACCTTGAAGTGACTGGTAGCTACAATCTCCTGCCATGCGCCTAATGGTCACATACAGGGTTAGTTCTGGTCATACATTTGACGTGTTACCAGAGTGTTTATTGCTTAAGTGGCATAAGTGGATTTGGATTTTGCTTGGTTTTGGTTTTCTAATCCATCTCTTTAAATACAATCTGGGCATATAATGGAAAGGAAGACCTCAGAATAGCTGAAAACTGCATGAATTGTAAGTTAGTGGTTGTAAGAAACCAGCATCTTTTCAAGTGATTCCCTCCCAACTTTGTACTTAGCTGCTTTCCTCTCCCTATCACAAGTTACCAATTGCTTTTAATTTCTTGAAAACACTCAGCAGGAAAAACCTTTCACTGTTGATCAGAAGTCTACATTGTTAGGTAAAATAGATTTCATAATTCAACTACATATAGCTGTCTTTCAGATTTAGCTTTGTATTACGCGTTGTAGATGCCGTTGAATTACTGATGGCAGAGCCCTCTCTGGATTTATTCTCAAGCACCTTACAAAAATGGATTTTCAAAGGGAGCAGAAGCAGGATTATTTTTAACTGTGCCGTTAAAGCAAAAGTGTTGAGAGGACAAGTGATTTTTTGCAATCCTGATACTTTGAAGGAGCTCATTTTTAGAAAGCACTCACTTAAAGCGAAGTCACTTGTCCCTTTTGAAAATCTTGATCAAAAAGGACCTGGATTGGTTTGCTACTAGGACTACACCAGTTTTTAGCCATTCAACATAAACAGTATCATGAAAATCAGGAAGATTTAAAAAAGGGCTAATGGATCTTACTTTCAATACTATTCATCTTGATACAGAAAATATGAAACCATTCTCTGGGCTTTTTGTTTTGTTTTTTTTAAACTATGAGGTAGATAATTGAGGAGTTAAATATGCTTTGTAGCTTGTTTGCTTTTAACCTAAGGGGTTAGTTTTCAAGTTTTATAGTAGTAAGAGTGAAAGGGCCTTAAATTTTTCAATTAATATAGTTTTCACAGTTCTAATGCGTTATATGGAAGGGGAGGTTGAGCTGCAGTACTCAACAGTATTTTTGGATAGTTTTCCAGGATATTCCCAGCTCTCCTATATCCAAAGATAATAGGCAGTAAGTGTCTAGCAGTAGCTAGACACTGAAAATGAAATCTAGATTTGTTAGTGAATATTAAACCCTGTATTCCACTCTTGGGAGAAACTATGGAGACAGTCCAAGCTAAAACTCAGTCCTGATGACTGGTTTTCCTCCTGGTTGGATGGTCTTTAAGATACAGAATACTAGCAAGCATTTGACTTTATGGCATGACATACAGTTTATGTCTGTAGGTCAGAGTCCTGCAGTTCTGCATGCTTGAACATGGACCTTCAGACAAGCTCACCCTCCCGCTATTTGCAGGATTAGTGCCAAATTATTTAAGCCATGCTGATGATAATTCACATGCATTTAAGAACAGTATTGCTACTACTCAGATTGAAATTGGTAGTTTACATAGTAACTCATCTTAAAACTGGAGCAATATGCAAAATGAACATAAATCCTGCTTCCAATGAAGTCAGTGAATGATTGTGTTTTTAAAGTAGATGGAAAACTGCGGAATACTGATCCATTTTCTCAGTTTGGAGGTTTGTTTAGTAAACAAGTAGAATTACACCAAGCACTATGCTCTTTCTTACAATTTGCCCTCATATATCTCTTAAGCTAGTGTGAAGGTTGAGACTCTGCCTGCAGGTTAGTCTGTTTCAGTCAGAAAACATGAACTACAGCAGCAGTGGTTTGTTCACTGTGTTTTCAGGTGAAAGCACTAATTCAGCTTAATTTTTGTTTTGCTGTAGAAAACTAAGACTATGGCTTTAAGTCAGGTTTTTCTTTTAACTCTTGGCTCTTCTGTGTTGTAAGAAGTGTAATACAAGTTTGCATCCCCTGCCTTACTGAGCAAAAGGGAACAAAGAAATAGACTGAAGACCTGGTTTCAGGTTAGTAGCAGATATGAATGACAGTGCTTGGGCTGTCAGTAGTGAAAGACTATTTCAGTTACCAAACCCTTGCTTCATCTGTTAGTAATAGCACAGTAGGCACTAGGCTGACAGCTTCTTGACCAGAAATAAATTAGATGGTAAATGTAACTTAGAGCTTTTTCACTCCCCTTCTGAAGACTTTTATTAAATCTGTAATTCACGCACATAGCTATGTAATTTGAGTATTGGGAAGACAGTCCTGTTGATTTAATTCCATTAATCCTACTGAAACCAAAAGGATACCTGGGTGAAGAGAGTGAGTAGCAATAAACCTGAGATTTATGGGTAAAAACCTGTTTCAAATCTTAGGTTACAAATGTGCACTGATATACATCAAGTGAATAATTCAGTAGTGCATGATCAGAGTTCACAGCATAAACATTTGCCAGGAAACCTGCTTACTGGTAGTTGAACATTAACAAGACTATGGTGCAGTAATTGCTTTTAAGCAGATTTTCTTGGCTGACCATGTATTTGCATTAGTATTTATCATTTATTTTTGGCATTACCCAAAGTGTACAAAATATTACAAAAACACAGAAGGGGACCTTGATCCCTGCCTTGTAACACTTAGGAGTGGAATGCAGAGGCAAATACTGAAATGAAATTGTCAGCAGAATGTGGTTCCCAGGAGCACAGGCATTGTTATCCTTTGTATTGAATTTGATTTAAGCTAATTTTATCTCCAGTTACTCATCCAGTCTATCATCATGGATGGAACTTGTACAAATATTTACAATTACATCAATATAATACCAAATACCTGCTAGTGTTTGCATTGCAAAACAAAATTTAAAAAAAAATTAAAATACTTCAAACCATTAGGACTTTTCCTCTGGTCTTATCACTTTCACTGTACTGGAAAGCAGGTCACTTTTGAAGGGGAAAAACTACAAGCCTAAATGAAGCCCAGCTAATCCCACATAGATTTCTAAGAACTTAATGAGAAGTGGAGCTCTTGCTGAGTTTCTTTGCCTTTAAAGATAATACTTATTTGAAGAATAGAGCCGATGATCATGTGCGATATATGTGTTACTGCAGTACATTACAGTATGTATACACTCACACCGTGGCAGCCTCAGATAACGTTGAAGCCTTTCCTTGAGTTGCCCCAGTATATATTGTCCCACTAAGATTTACACCTCCATTATTTAATCTCTTAGTCCCAGGCAGCTGACCGTTTGAATGTCTCTCACCATCTCATGCCAATCCTGAGGGAACTGGGAGGTAATAACATTATTAGTTTCTCTTCATGGTATTGTTTTACTCAATTTTGTAATGAGAGTCTCTTTAAATCAAGATGAATTTATATGTTATTTCACTAATAGAAATTGTTTATCTTTACCTATCCTGCTTCCAAAACATTTATACATTAACAGACCATGGAAGTTTACCCTATTGCATTATTTTGGGTAAACAGTGTGCTGAAAGAAAATGAAGTGAGAACAATACATGCTTGGTGAAACTGAAAAATAAAGTTACTCTCCTTTTGGTATCTTCCAGGCTTAGAGACTACTCACTTTAGCCCCTGTCAGTCATTCTCTATGGAGATGTCACAGGAGCAAACCAGCTTATGGGCAGAGTGTGCAACCAGTAAACCGGAAAAATTCAAGGAAATTGGAGCGAGTATGTACTGTTCTGTGAAGAGGTAGTTCTCACATGACTCGCTTTGCCCCAGTAGCTGATGATGACCACACAGCTCATATTCCCACTCTTGTGGTACATGAAGTGAGGCAATTAAAGAGCTACAGAGCCAAGGACATGTGTAGTTCTTGGTGGAATTGAAAGCAAATAAATCTCAAAGTTTAGGCTAATTACCCTAGCCACTTAATTATTCTTTCTCAAATGATACTAAGTTGTTTCGTCAACTAAAAGGCAACAAATTTGGCAATAAAAGATGCCACATTGTTAATGGAGATTAATAGTTACATTTTATTACACTTTTATGAAGTATAGTGACTCCCAAGTCACAGAGCAGAGTCCTTTATAATTGAGCTGTTCTCATATATGACAATTCTCTTCTGTGCTATAAGAAGAGATTCACAGATTTGGGAAATATTGTCTCAGTTTTATGTTTTTAGTATCTTTTGGTGCTAATCATCCCACTGAGGTTTCAGTTAGAGAACCAGCCTCCTGGATATCTTAGTTTTTACTGTCCAGGTAGCGTTAGATTTCTTTTAACTCTGTTGAATTGGATTATAGAGCTATTTAAAGCAGGAAAAAAATCTTAGGTGGAAGCACTTAATTGCAATCCCCACTACATACTTTAAAAAGCCCCAAACTATTCTACAACTCGATGTTCGGATTTCCAGCACAAGTTTATCCCTCTGCATTTTTTTTTATCATTTCATTTTAGTTTACTTGGAAGAGAGCAGGGTTACAAAATCAAAACAAACAAACCAACCCAAATGTATATTTGCTGTCCATGGAAGTGTTGCCAGTAGTTAGATAAAAATAGCCGGTATATTCTCCTATCTTGATCTTAGATAGCATTTTTTTAATAAGACTGAAAAACGTTAAAACGCACTTTAAAAATAATTCTCTGAGGCACAAAAGAATTGCATTTTTTTTCCACTGTGTCTTTTTTTAAAAAGGGTTTCTATTACTTGAACACTGACAAAGGCAGTTACCTGTATTACATTCGTAACTTTAGGCGTCACTGAAGACAGACTGTCAACAATTGTCTTGGTTTTCCATATTAGTCAGTGACCAGAGGAAAACAAGGGAACAGAGTAACCTCACAAAAATGAGAAGAGTGAAGCCTGAGTAACAGTCAGGGAAGATTTTCTATTTAGTCCAATTAAATGTGTTAGGTTTTATCAATGCTTACTCAGTTCGAAGGAGATACTTTCCATCCCAAAGGTAAAATAATACACTATACAAATAGTTATGGGCTTTCCTGTTTGTTTTTTGTACATCAGAAATTTGACTGCGGTCTATACTGAAGACTGGACTGCTAAACTAGTTAAGTGTATGGTAACAGCAGAGTTTAACCTTTGGAGAGCTGTTAAATTGGCTTAAAGCTGGATTTAGAACCTATTCCTTCTATTATGAGGTGAGAAGCATGTCTTTCTCCCACAGGACACCATTTGAAAACCACTAGGAGATCCAAGATCATACCTTGATAAAAAAATTATTGAGGCTCTTTATCATTAAAAATAGTCACTTTCCATGTTTCTTTTGCAAGATATTTTTAGACTTCAATTGAGTTATTTCCAATTCAGTTCTCCAGCTGACACTGATTTCTACTTTCTTTCAACCTCAAATTTAACAGAAAACTGAGGATTAATCTTCCTATCACAAGGCATTGAAGGGCCACCAGATAGACTATAACCAACAGGTTTTTGCAGATGTATAGCTGTCAATCTGCTCCTGACAGTTACCATCATCTGTAATGTGTGTATATAATACACTATACTCTGAAATCAGTCAAGTCCAGCTTTGTGATCATTCAGCCAAGTAGGTAGTGTAGGTCAGGGTAAAGTATTAGGCAAGTGTAGCAGCTTCACAGAGCTGCTTGTTTAATCCACTTCTGTCTAAGGCTTACCAAGCCCATACAAAATTTGCTATTACAGCTAAATTAATTCTTTTCCTTTAGTCATAAACATAACATTAAAAAAATCCTACATTTGTGTCTTTCAATTTTAAAGCCTAGACTAGGATAATAAAAACAGTCATCACCTATTTCAAGCTTTCATAAGAACATATGCCTTATCACTGAATACTCTGTAGAAGTTTAAACCTTAATTCCCCCATAAACTCACTCAGACATCTTAAAGTACACTCTGTTCAGATGTAATTGCTAGGTAAAAGGATCCAAGTTTCTGTAAATTTTAGCTTAGAGGAAGTACCTTATATAATTGCGAAAAAAAATTGCCCAAAATGATGGCAAGTTAGTAGTTATGATTTCTAACTGTTCAATCAATTAAAAAAAACAAACCAAACCAAAACAAAACACCTTATAACACAAAGATTATCTTCTCCAGATAAAAGCAGGGGAAAACATTAAATGGAAGGCTGTATTTCCTTAGAAATTGTCTTTTTAAAGTACCTGACCAACACAGTCCATATACTTCCAATAGCCAGATTCAATTCAGTATCCACTAAGTAACAGCCTATTACCTTGCACTGTGCTGTAGAACACATGATGATCTACACCTGCTTTTTCTGCAATAAATTCTATGAGCCATACAGACTTATATGAAGACGTGAGGGAGTGATTGTGAGTATCTAAACTATTGTATGTGAAAACAAGGATATGAAAGATTGTCCTCTGAACAGGGCATGCAAACTTGTCTTGACAATTTGAAGGTACTTTTTAAAAGTGAGTCAAGAGCTGAATTTTCAGAGACATTAAGGTGCAGACAGTTGCTTACCAGTGTCTTCAGAAGCATCTAGTTACCGTTGCAAAAAAGCACAAAACTTGTACGGAACTGGTTTTGCACTAAAGGGAAATAGTTATGAGGGAATAAAAAATACATGCACGTGAAATGTAGAGAGCATCCTGATTATTCTGTATTTTTCATGTTCATTCCCTATTTGAATGCTGTGCGTAAGCAAGCATTTTCCCCTTTATAAATGGTATTAAAATAGATTACCCTGAGTGTGAAAAGTAGTTTGATACTTGACAAAATAAAATGCTATATACATTTTCTTAACAAAGTGCTAATACTGATGAGGAGAATAACTTTGCTAGTACAGTTTGGTGGCATCAGAAGGGACTCACCAGAGTTAAGGGTTGGAATGGTGCTACATACACATACCGTTTCACAACCAGGGGAAGCCAGCACATGAGATCAGACACTGTCCTGCTTGCCAGCCGAGAAGTAGATACAGACATATACAGAGCAGAAGGTGAATTTAGTTATTCGTAACAGTTTTAAAAGATTTCTATTTTATACTTCTGTAAGGAGAAGCGTTAAGATTTTTGACAGTCAGATATGCTCAGTGCTGTCAACCAGCTTTTCCCTCTCTTGTGCCTCACTCGCTGATACCTGCCAGATAGAAAAGCCACAACTCCAGAGACTAGATAGTGTTCAAGTGAGTCTGGCTCACACACCTGTTGGGGAGAAAATTACAATCTCTAATTCATATTGAATTCATTCACTGAATTCCAAAATTATTTGAGGGTTTTGGATGGTAACAGTGTTAAAATTATTCTGAATTTTCTAGGACAAATCTGGTGGTGTTTTTCAAGGTTTCTTCAAGAGATGCAGGCTCTACCTTTCTAATCATCAGTAACTACTTTTGCTTTTAAACTTTCTTATCACAATACTGACTAGATCGTTTGGAATATGAGGAAACAAGGGAGCAAGCTTGCATACTACAGTAATTTTTTATACTTTACCTTCATCTATTTATGAATTTATTATGAAAAATATTTTTAAACATATGAAACCTGCTTTTTGTTGTGAATTTTAGCAAAGTAGTGCATACATTGTACTGTGTATCATTAAAAAGGTTTAATTAAAATAAACATTTGGAAATTAATATCTTGTTATTTTATGCGTGTATTTTGCTGTGGTTTATTATCAGAAACAAAATCAAGCTTTAAGAAATTATGTATCCTATACTACAGTGCTGTATGGTCTCCAACTTCTACACAAAATACAATCTAATGTACTCTTTATTAAACAAACAATGCTCAACTCTCTTCTTGTACCCTTACAACTGCCCATCATAAATGCATGCACATTAAATTGTTTCAAATTAGAAAGCTCTCCAGGATAACTGGCCAGAAGAGTGAAAACCGCAGTCCTCAATGTTGTAGAAATGCAAATAACTTTTTCAGTGCTTACAATTAAGTGTAAACAGTGTAGTTACAAATGTACCTGCCCAAGGGAATATTTAGATCCTAGATTTAATTGCTGTAAATCAAACAAAGCAACACCCCTTTCTTTTTGCTTGGCACTTTAATTCTAATGTCAGTAGATAAGCATTCTTGATCTGCAGGAGCCAAATATTAAATTACTTGGTTCTGTATTCAATCTACTGCTTCAACAACAGCCTCAGATACCAAAACAGCAATCAGTAGTTTTCAATGAAATAGCCATGGTCTAACCCCTGGTTCCTTAGAGTTCTGGGTATAGCTGAATTCATTAGTTAATTCTCTTATATTGACACATGCTTTACTACTAAAACATTCTGGATGTAACTATACATGCCACTGGTGTGCACAGTGCTGCAGAGAATCTGCATAGGAGGTAAACAATGCAAGTGTCATGCTTGTGTCATGTACCTACTCTTTGCAAGTATTGACCTTTGTTTTTTCACATACTTCACACATTCTGCACATCTATAATATTGTTTCTAAATGTGTGTGGGGAAAAAACAACTTACTCAAAAAATACAAAGGGAAAAGGAAGTTGTGAATTCCAAGGCTGTGTTATGAGGCAAAATGTAACAGTTTATACAAAGCCAAGTTTCCTTTATGTAAATAATACATTATAATAGTCCTACAATAAAACACGTAGAACAGTTCTCTCTAAAGCCTGTGAAACGCATGGCCTTCAGAAGCAAGCCTACGCTTTCACAGCACACACCAATAATGAGCTAGTCATGTCACCCTGTTGGAACCTTCCTGTCTTGCTGATGATGAGCTCTCACACTATTTCCAGAGCAGAAAAGACACACATCTGTGTCGCTATAACTAACTAGTTTTATAGCTGCTTTCCAGGTCATCTTCCAAAGCACTGTGTGACCTGCAGACTGATGAGGCAGCAAGGTGGGTGAGCAGAATCTCCCCAGGACACCCTTGTGCACCCTTGAAAAGGTGAACAGGCTAAGCCAGTCATAAAAAGTTATGAGGAAGGAAAAAAAAAACACACACTGAAAAAACCCAAACTCCTGCTCTGATCTCTGCTGCCTGATCATTTGTAAGTGTGCATGGCAAATTAAAATATGTATTGTTAACAGGTCTCTTTCAGTAACTTGAATTTACTGTGGAAGACAGCCATAACAACTGTTTAGTTGGCTTACTATAAGTGAGCATAATAACTTTAAAAAGACTTCTTAGTTGCATTTCTAGGAACTCTTCCTTGAATTCTCTAGGAATGTGGAATAGTTTGGATACAGGAGATCTACACACATCACAACCATTTTTCTTTTCTTGTTAGTGAGGTAAACTGGCCATTGTTATGTAGCTTGCACCTGAAAAAAATGCCCTTATTTTTTTATAGTCTTAAAGTCACTGAAAATTTTTTCTCCCCATCTATGGTCAAGAACTTTGCTGTTAAACTGGCAAGAAGCATGTTCACAGATATGCTTGCATAAAGCAAGACATGAGACCCATGTCCTATTGAAAATCCATTTCTTATTCTGATAAATATGCTTAGCCATACAATATGTGCTGCTTCTGCTTCAGAAAAGAGGTCAGTAGATAAATCAGCGGTAAACCTTGCTGTGTGTTAAACTTTAAGACACATTTAGCATGACCTTAGATTCTGATACTGGATTCTGAGCTTGGCATGCAAGACCAACAAAACTCTAGGAGGAGAGCTTTTAATTAAGACTAGCTGAGTCTCACATGGTCTTAATTACACAAAGTAAACCCATCTGTGCTATTTTGAATATGTACTGATTCATTTTATTCACAGGAGTGACCACAAAAACACTCTTCTGAAACTTTCAACATGCAAGCTGTTTCAGTCGACGTTGAAAACTGGATATATTTCATCATCTAAGAATTCATCCTTGTATAGGCAAAAAAATTGAATATAGACTGTGTAAGATAAGCAGTGATACCATACAGTAAAGGCTGTTAGTACCCATTTCTGTTCAAGTTACAGAAGATACAAACACACCACTGAGTTTTAAAGAAGCTCCTGTATACCTGGATTCTTGCCTATGACACTGAAGGAAAGAGTTTTCTACCTCTTTCAGCAACTGCCTTCTGCGTGTAGAGTTATTCATGTCACTATTTCGATCTTCCTTTAATCCCTGGTGAGACTAGGTTGGGGGACAAAATAGCTACACTGCACTTGACATAACAACATGGCATTCTTGCTTTTATCCAGCACACAGAAGACAGGTTATGCAGAAAGCTAACTCAACCAGAGGTCTGCGCTAGTTCACATCCTTTCAGCTGCCTGTGCAAGTAGTGTATTTTAAAGCAATATATACATGTACATTAATTTCAAATGTATTTGCCCTTCATACAAACTTACAAACCTATCATTACAAAGGTGAATGTCTTGGTGCCACTACATGTAGATATTGTGCTTGGAGCTGCACTCCAAACATTTCATTGACTCAATTGAGATTCAGTCCTAGCTGTTGGGAACCAAAGTAATTTACACTGGACAAGTCAAAGTTTAGCACAGTGTTTCTGTGAATAATTTTGTTAGTATTCCTCCATTCCATCCATCACCTAGAAACACTTTTTGAACAAGAAAAAGCTGACAAAGAGTTGACACCGAAGTTCTGAAAATCCAGAGCTGAGAAAGCATAGCCATGGTACAACACCCATCCCTCTGCGAGTCCATCCATCCACTGACAGAACAAAACCCAGATGCTCCAGGGCCTTTCACTTGTGCATCCTTTCTACAATTTACGGAAACAACCTTTACTGTGTCACTTCCATGCCACAGTTGATTATTTTCTTGCTGAAAAAAGCCCCAGCAATTGTCAGTTTTATAAAGCACACAAACCCTAAACATAAAACAGCTCTTACTAAAACCGCGTATTTCCGATTCATTTGAAACTTTCTACAGCAGAACTGGGGGGTAAGCATATCTTTCCCAGCAGTTGGGGGAGGTTTCAAGAGCACCAAACTCTGAGCTCATCTCTCAAACTCCTGGGGCGCAATTTCTCAGTGGCTGACAGGAAAAAATTACCAAGTGCTTCGCACTTGATTGAAACCAAGAAAGGGTGCGAATGACAGGAAGCTAAAATTACAAATGTACACTCTCACCTGCTATTTTTTAAACGTTCTGGCTTTTTGAGGGTCTGCCAAGCCCATATTACCACTTATCAAGCTGGAATTCAGTCCGCAGAATTAGAGAACTTGAAATACCCTGAGCCTTGGAGAACTGCATAGGGACAATGGTTTTTCATTTTACTACTTCTATGATATGGAAAAAGAAAGGAGGGGGAAAAAACAAAACAAACCAAGAGTGAAAAAGTAAAACCAAAAGGAGACAGAGTCGGCACGCTCCGAGCTCCTCCCCTCCCCCGCCCAGCGCCGCGCCTCCGCCGCAGGCAGCCAGGCTGAGGTAAAGCCAAGATGGCGGAGAGCAGTGCCCGCCAGCGCCCTCTACACCTGGAGACTCCCACAGCAAAACCACCGCAGTCTCCATCAGAGGAGGCGTCTATCTCCCCACTTCCCAAATTCAGTTCCTACTGAGATGCCCCACACTCGTCTGTTTAAGACGAGGGATTCTCCAATCTCCCACCAACAGAGTTATTGAGTCCAGTGCAGTAGCGCTGCATGGGCTGGGGCCATTTCCCAGGGGTGAAACAAGCTCCCACCTGGACATGGATTGCACCAAGACTTTGCTGAAATAAATACCTTTGAGAAATGCTTGTGACCTGTACTCATGCTGCTGAGGCTATTGAAAGACACGTGCTGCTTTGAAGTAGTTTATGTGAGAACATAAATATACATAACATGTTCACACTCGCGGGATATGGGCTGGACACCTAAATTTTTGAAGCTTTTTAAGAGGTATCTTCTCAGAGAACCAGACATTAATTTGGGGATTAATTAGAGCTATCTTCTACTTAAAGCATTTCACTGTCTTCTGCCAAAATAATGGGTTAATTCACCAAAATGACAAATAATTCCCTTCAAAAACTACAGGTGATAGTGGAGAAGCAAACCCAGGCCAGGAGTGAAAGCAGACATTTTTGCACCCACCAAAGCCTAGCCTAAACCCCATGTACGTTCTTCTGTATTCTTCCAGAACTTAATAGATCCTGGACTTAAATACATCAGCTCTGCCAAAGTGTGTGGTATTGTATGGGTACATCTGCATTACTGTTTTAGCTGGATGAAGGTGTCTTCTGATGGGAAGCTTCTGATCACTCCATTGCTCTGCAGAGCAGCCCCCCAGCAGATCAGCTGGATTCCCACGGGATGAAGCCTGATGCACTCTAACAGAGGCCTCAAAATTGTGTACCAGGTTTCAATACTACACTGACAGCCAGCAAGAACATCTTTCAAGCTTAGTGAAAACATTCTCTTTAGAGGATCTTTTTCAGTATTCTTACCGATAGTCGTCTGCCCGTTCCACCACATTGCAGAGGCTGCATTTCATCTCCTCCCATCCCTGAAATACTTTTAATTTTTCTATATATGATCCAATTACACCATATCACACCATATCATCACATTTGTGTTGCTGAAGAACAGAAGACATAGCAACATAAGGAGGGTTGTCCCAGGAAAAAAGTCATCAAACCTCTTATGGAAATTAAGTAAACTACTACAAAAAACTGGTACAGATCATTGTGAATTACTCACATCTTTAAGACAAGCTGCATGGATATGATCTTTTACTTAAAAAATCTGCAATTTGAAAAAATGGGTGTAGTAGACTGATTTTATAAATGTAGGATGTATTACAGACTAGATTATTCCTTTCATTACATTTAAGAATATTCAAGTTTTTACATAATAAATTTAATTTTAAATGCCAAGTGGTTTTTTTTTTTAATTATTGAAGAGGAGATGTCTGAAAATTTGTTTTTCTTAAAATATGTCTCGTACATTCCTCTAACTTTAATTAAAAGGTGCTTCTAAAGAAAAACATGACACTGAAGACAATACATGACTGGAGTTTAAAATATTGTCAATTTTGTATTAGTAAAAATAACTACAGGATATATTTCTGAAGGGTTGGTTTTGAGTGTTTTTTTTTTTTTTTAAATAGACCCGAAGGTATCAAGAATAAAAACACTACCACACAAACAAAGGGCAAGTTCTACTTACAAGAAACTTCAGCACGATCCTCAGAAGTATTTTTATAAGTGATTTCAGTGGTCTACTTCTGCACACACTGGTCACTTAGGTGGTTCAGCAGTACATTTTAAACTTGAAAGAAGTATTGTATCATCCAATACTTACCTATGTTATGACTGAAATACACGAAATACACCATGTGGTAAATATTGTCTGTTGCAAAGAGGTAAATGTCAAAGCTGAAAACACATTAAAGAAGGTAAATGAAAATCCAGGTAAGAGGACATTCAAGGAAAGGAGAGCAAAAGTTAAGACAGGGTCTTAGTCTTTTTCTTACCTAATGTAATATTCCTTCATCTCAGTTTTAGCTGAATAATTGGAAAGAACATTTTACTAAACTCAGTTTTTCTTAAGAGCTCTGAAAAAGAGCACATTTCCAGTAATAGATTGAGATTTCTTCTAAGGATTTCCACATCTCAGCCTGTTACTAGCAAAGAATCACAAAATTTCACTTAAAAGTACCATAGCAGGAAATGTTAGAAATTAGTGGTAACTCTGATGCAATGTTTTATGACACTTCTTTTAAAAAAAATACTCTGTACCACTTCCTGAGTGAATAGGAGACACAAAATTCAAAGACTTAGAAGTCTGTCAGCGTAGCACATTCATTTGCAAGACATTAAAATAATATAATGAACAATGTCTGCTTTTTGAGGGGTTACATCAACAAAAAGATGAAGATGACAAGTCTTTTGCTGGAGTTCAGTATTGAGTAAAGCAGGTGGAATAAACCACATAGTAGCACCTTAGCACAAATATTTTCACTAGAAATTTATGTAGAAATGTAAACTGGAGTGGGACTCACTGAGGGAAGAGCACACATGCTTTTCTACTCATTTTGCAAAATATGAGGAGTCTGTTATACTACTAACACCAGTAATATTTCAAAATTATAACTGTGGTGTAAGTGGTTAGTGAACATCACCATTGTCACACGTCACTGAGGAAGCAGCTCACTTTCGGTCTCTAGAGCTAGATCTAGGCTGTGTGGTTGCAGCACTAATTAGGAAACACACAGTCCAATTCCACCCTACCTAGCCCAGCACTGCAATGAAGTTGTGGGAACATCTTGAAAGTGGATGCTGTTAAGTCCTACATGTCTGGCAAGAGCTCCCAGTAAACATCCTCAGCAGTAACTCACTATACTCCTCCAAATCCTTCCTTAAAAATTTATTTTTCATGATTTGTCACCAAAACATTTGCCTAGCTCACTGGTATACAAATCTCTACTACACTAACATTTCTCTTTTGTGTTTTACAGTAATGCCCATATATATTAACCATCTTTGTCCACTGCCTGTGGCAACAACTGCCTATTTTTGGGTTTGTGCTGATACAGTTCCAAATCCAGTGGCACCCTAGTCCACTACAGGGACTCAGTCATACATTCATACGAAGACTCACATTAAAGAGAGATCAAATGGACTCGTCAGGCAACATTCACCCCCCAGCAACACAGGCACCGCCTAAATGGTCTGAGAGGGACACAGACTAGAAACCTGCCTTCCTTTCAGTTAAAACACAGTAGCAGCCTGATTAGCAGCCAAACAGTATTTTTCCTACACATGCACTGTAAGTTAATGTTTCCATGAGGGATGAAGTTTAAAAAGTATATACACAGTTCCTTCATGAACCTTTTGAAGTGTTCATGCATATTCTGGGGTAAAAAGAAGAAACAAACCAAACATTTTCTGTTCTTCATCAGCTTTCACATTTTTATTCCTTGCTTCACTGACAACCTGAAACCACTTCCGGTAATAGTTAAAGAGCTCTGCAACATGCTTCAGTATTGAAACAATGCAACTTCAAGTCACCCCGACATTTTACAAAACTACAATCTTCACTCAGAGAAAGATTTGGCATACTTCGCAAATAGTTGAAGTATTACAGAAAAGTGCTAAAGAAATAGGGATATATCTGTTTATTGTTCGAATAAAAAAAGGCAAGAATGTGCTGCTGTAATACCTTCCCAGTGAAGAAACAGGAAATATACTGTTTAGAGCAGTGTCCTTAAACTGGATCCAGCAAGATATGTTGAAAGCTGCTTATGAAACATTATGAGTGAAGGAATCAACAATTGTGATAGCAAAGAGGGGGGTTACAGTGGTTTGCAAATGGAGAAAGCACAACAAAAAAACCTAATTTCATAGCAGCAATGTTCTCTTCATGACATGAGTTTCTGTATTTGATATCAGGATAATAATTAGTGAAGAGCTGGCCAGGAAGCCATTTCACTTTATGATACCAACTGTCTATCAATGCTTTTAAGCTAGCATTCTGCTAGTTCTGCAAGAACTTGAGAAAACTGAAGACCAACAGATTTTTGTTTGTACAGTTTCTAATTTGAAAGACCAACCAACCAACCATAAATACCTGAACTGACCATGGGTGATGTTAAGTGATACTTCTGTGTGAGTTGACTGTTTTTAAAACACACTTAACTGGCTTATGTTTTCCAAGCTTTTGTCACAAGTACACCATGTACTGTGGTATTTGTATAACAAATTAACACAAGGATATTTTCAAAGGCATCTTTTGGATGAAAACATTTAAAAGTATTTTACAAAAATAACAAAATAAATTACCCCTTTTTTAAAAAAAAAAAAAAAAAAAAGAACAGCTATAAAATCCAGGAACCAAGCAACATATAACACTGACACAAGATGAAATATATTACACTAAAGGCCAGTTAATTACCACAGTGGTGTGAAGCTTCAAGTAAATTACTAGGCACTTTTTGCCCAAACAGTAGTCACTCATTCAGTAGAAAAGTCAAACTGACAGAAACACCTGAAACATAATTGATAAAGCTTTCTAAGATTTTTACATTCCTCAAAAGAGTGCAGATAAAAAGGCAAAGACAAAAAGGCCAGGTCTTATGCCACAGAGGACACACAGTGTAAGCCACTTTCCTCACATGACTGTGTTCAGCTTAGTCAGAGTTCCAGAAATGGTGTTACAAGTCAGCCTTCTCCATCTTACATGGACAATTATATTAAGGCTTTACATGTTACAGAGAGGAAAGCAATAGCAGCTCCAGACACATGGGAAAACAGATAAAAGGAAAGGCTGCAGGGTTATAGGTGAGCAAGTACAAAGTAGCACAACAGACCTGAACTTCGCTCTGGTTTGAAAGAGCACACATTACTTGCAGAATACCAAGCAGTAACACATGCTGTGCTCTGTACCAGCCAATCTGTAATTGTGTGAATGATCCCAGCATCACAATCTGATAGCCTCAAGATTCCCAATACATAGAAGCTAACTCTTCCAGCAAACAAAAGAAGGTACTGGCATGTGGGAATTTAAGTACCAGCAACATGCATAAGCTACTATAAAAAATTGCTATTAAAATATCTAATATTATGAATAGAAGGACAATAAAGGGCAACTAAAGCAAGAAATTACATATTTCAAAGTACTTTAAAAAGCATTATTGATATTTAATATACTTAGAATAAGTATATTAAATATACCAAAGTATACTAATAATATTTATACTTAATGTAAGATTGTATTAATTTAAAAGGTGAAAATCTTAGAAGGCAGCAGTTTGTGGCATGATTTTAAAGCACTGTTTGTTTGAGGAGAAGAAAAGCACAGCACTGAGTAGTCCTTAAGAAATCATGTCATCTCAATTAGGTGCAAAGTTCTCCAGCTGGAAGACCAGGTCTACAGCAGCATCAACATCTGGTACAATATGATCCGGTTCTACTAAACCAGGATCAAACCTAAAATCCCTGTGGCCATGGAACACTGCTTCAGTTACTCTCTCCGTGGTATCCAGGGGTACCTCGGTGTGAGGGTTGTAAACCCCAGTACAAACCAGAACAGACCTACACTGGGCAGCAGCTGCAGATGCCAATTCATTCTCCCAACTATTGCCTATTTCATCATCCTGAGAGACAGCGGCAGATCCTCTGCCACCAGCAACTTTGGCCTGAATCCGTGATTTTGACCCTTTCCTGGAGTTCTCTTCAAGATAGCGATTGTAAAGGTTAGCACCATAGACATCAGTCATGAGATTATCTCTGGAAATATAAGAAGAAAGTTTAGTCAGCAGTGCAGTTTTAGTTGTCAAATTTCAATGTATGAAAGACATTTTTATGGTTTCGATTGAACAGTTTATTTTTTACTTTACATAACTTTATGTGGAAGTATGAAGATGGGAAGAGATCCAATCCTATAGCTATTTTATTACACCAGTTTCATTAAGCATGACGTATGATAAAAGTGAATAACTCTCCCTATTGAAATTGCAGATTGGAGCAGTGGGAGGGGAAACCATGCAGTCCATGAACGAGCTTATGACATTTCCCAGCATCTCGGAGATTCTGGAACAGTCTTTAATACAACACAGCTTCATCTCTTTCTATGAAAAGGATTCTATGAAGTGACAGCACACAGAGTAGCATATGACCAAGCTTAATGACCTCACAAATAAATTCTAGCTCTACATTCTCTCATAACTAGCATTTACTAAAAGCGTGTTGTTTTATTAGGTTTACTGGTATAACATCAAATGCCCATGCAAATCCTTTTTGTTAGATTTACACAGTCTATTACAGAAATAAAAATAAAATAAAATCGAGAGAAATCTTAGCTGCATATAAACCACTTTTTGTGCTTCTACAGAAATTTCACATAGAAAGAACAAAGTATTATTAATTTTCAAGATTAGAAACAGTGAGGCTCGAAAACATTACAAAAAGCACACCAGCGCACCAAGAGTGTTAGGTGGTCCCAATGGTATGAGAAACAAACTAGTAAGAGTTGTGTATTTTTCTTTGCTGGTATTTATGTTGCAAGTAATTTCCTGCTGTACTCGTTAGATTTACGGTATCTTACCCGACAGCATAAAGAGTTTGAATGGGTTGCTTCCATTGCCTCTCTGCTGCCTGAGCCCTGATGAGGTATTCCGCATACTGGTAGGTCAGTCTACTAGGTTTGCCCATTAAGGCCTCATATTTCAGATCTTTGCCAGTGATCTTCTTGTAAATGTTTTCCAAGCAAACCATGAATGTTCCATGCCCAAACCTACACAGTTGAAAAGACAAATCAAATTATATTAAGTACAAAAGAAAAAGAAAATTTAAAAAGCCTTTTCTATTTCATGACCTTTCAAGAATAGATCATATCCTGTAACTATCAAATTTCCCTCAGTTTGCATGCAACATTTCCACAGCTCTTTCACTGAAAATTAAGTGCTGATTAGCTGAACAATAAACACCACAATAAAAACACATCATTGGGACAGCACAACAGACTTGTCTATTTTGAAAATGTAGCGATGGTTCATGTTAGTGTTCCTTGCATTTAAACAGATACCCTAGTTACAAAAGTGATGCTTCTTGAAATAATGCCTATCCAGTAATCTACTTTCTGCAGTGACCTATAAGAATCAGCTAAATTTACAAAGAAGAGAAAGGAAAACGAAAGTTAGAATCGGACAGAAGGAAAACTGATCTCTCCTTAAACACAAGAGTATACCAAAACCCACTTGTAATATGGAAACAAAAAAACTTCATGGGTTTCTCTAAAAAATAGATGCAAAGGAGGATCAAAGAACAAGCTATAAATTTATGGCATGCTTTTGATAACTCAGTTATTTTGATCAAGGTGCACACAGTGATGATGGTCATCAACCAAGCCCGTAAATCAGTAATTTAGAAGATGTAATCTTACGGTGAAAAAAAGCAGCTTTACTTCATTACTGAGGTCAGGGTGTGGGATTAGAGATGAACTAATACCTATCGAATATCGAATTACCCTAAGAAGAATAAAAAGTTGCTATACAACAATTCTACATACAATAAATTACACATACTACTTAGGAAGAGCAGGGAGGTAACTTCTAATGCACATAGATTAGGATATCTGCTCAAACCAGGTATCTACAGCCTAAAAAACCCCAGAACAACAATATAATGAGCACCAGAAGCCAGTGAAGAGTAGCGCACTAATAAAGACATGAAGAGTCTAGTGGCCTAGAAATCAAAATAGTCTTTCAAGGAAAAAAGCTACAAAGAGGAAAGCAGCTGTAGTACTTTCAAACACGGTAGAGATTTAATTTTTCAGAATTCTGAATTAACATTTCACTCCCTTTTTCCATCTTGTTTCTTGCTTGGTATTATGGAATATCAATAAATAAGCAGAAAATTATTTCCAGTAATTATTAGCAAGCACTTAAAACAACCTAGTCATGACATTATACTCCAGTATTGAATGTAACAGCACTGACAGATGCAACCTGGTCATACTGTTAAACTCAAAGGAAAAAACTAACTTTATACTGTATCTTTCCCAAAGGACACAACTGAAACTATGCATCTTATTCACGGCAGATATATTGGCTGCCTTACTCTAGCCTGAAACCATCACATGTGTATTTTGCCAACATGCTTATTAGAGACGGTCTTTGTATCCAAGTAAGGATTACTGACGATCTTTGACTGAAGATCAAGGCATCAATCAAGTCACAACAACAATTTCTATTTCAGTTTCTGTTCAAATTGACTGAGGGGAAGGGAGAGGAAAACTATTAAAGAACGACCTTTATTGAAAACAAATTCAAACAAAACCACTATTGGAAATCATGCCATATTGTTCTGTGCTTTCTACTTCTTGTTTCTCATGTTCCTTAAAGAGCTCACTATACTGTCCTCTGCTCAAAACCATTCACTGCTTTCACCTAGCAGGGTCAAGTCTTTACCCTAGCAGAAACTACAGGGTAGAAAAGAGAAATACCAAAGAAGGACCTCATGAAATGAAACTGTGGCCTTGATATTTTTTTTCGTTTTTCCTTTTGAACTGAGACTCTGAGACCCTTAGGCAAAATCACCAAAAACACCCTGGGAGTATTTTGGGGAAGTGAGAGAAACAAAAAGTTTCTTCTGGGAGTGGGGAAACAAAAAGGTTTAGAGCTTAAAAGCAGTTTTTATCTTAAGTGATTTCCTGAATGCAATAATGTAGACAATAATAAGGCAGCATCTGCTGGAAGTGCATTGCTTTAGAGATGTTTTATTCGAAGCTGGGACCTACTGTGAAGCTATAGCAAGCATTTTGTGTAAGACTGAATTTTACTGAAAAAATGAGGAAACCCCAAGTATATCACAACATACACATGTGTTATAATTGCACTTACCTTGGAGACTGTGCTTCAGCTACCCACATCAGATCCATATTACAAGCAAGTACAGGAATGTGAGGGTGATTTTCATGGTGATATGGATTTCCAGGATAGCCACTTGTCAGCAAAACATCTATTATCAACTGGAGGTTGGTTTCCCATCTGACTGGCTCCCCAAACAAAACAACAGCTATGAGAACAAGAAATACAAAACAGTTATGGAATCAGCTAACAGGCAGTCAAACCTCTGATGTTAAAACTTGGTTTGAAGAGACTGACAAGTAATTTGATTTAATCACGAACTGATGAAATAGTCACATTAACTTTAAACTTCAGGTTTTAATATATTACACACCCATTCATTCACAGAAAATCTCAGATGTAACAAGACCCCACTGCAAAATCTACAGGTTTAAGAATTTTGGGGTTTTTACTGGCTAAGTTTTTCCACAGCACCACAGAATACTAACTTCTAAACTGTACTTCTAAGTCTTCCACACCTTTGTGCGTTCTGTTTACATACAGTATTTAAATAATCCATCAGAGATGTTATTTTGTTCATCTTAAATCCAAATTTTAATGTCGTTTTTAGATATTTTTCCGGTCTCCAGCAATAATATGACATGGATTTTTTTAAGTCCTGAAGTCCAGTTTCTACTTTCCTGTACTTCAGGTGAGATGAGAGTGAATACAGTGTGCTTCTCACACTACAACTCTGAAGTGATCATCCTGACTTATGTAAGAACAAGACAGATATTTCTGAACACGTCAGTTTATTCCTCATTTTTGAAAGGAAGGCAACAATAGCCTGTTAAAGGAAGACAAAAAGGAAAGCAGACTTCACCTACATTCCGAAACCTCAAAACCACATGGTTGAAAACTGCACACATTAAAAAAACAGCTTTATCACACATGATACATTCCAAATTAATGACAAATATCAATAACAAGGAAATTTGAGAATTGTCTTGGCCAACTTTCTGAAGTGCTCAGCAATCTTAAAATAAATTCTAATTATAAAGTACAATAAAGATATTTAATCTATTAATGGATAGTTGCAAGTTAAATAAAGACAACTGACCCTCAATCTTGGGAAGCTCCACAGCAGAGGGGTACTGCAATAAGAAAAAGGTGAAAGTTTTCTACAAGATTAAACATCTACTACTATTTTTAACAGTAAATTCAGTTAAATTCAAGTATAGCTCCCATAGTTGCCTTCAACAACACTGACAGAAAATGCACTCTCTGTTTTGGTGTAATAATACCTGACGTCAGTTTACTTAGAAACTTGTACTTCAATTCTGAAGTGAAATCTCGTGGCAAATGGACAGCAGACAATTAACGTGTTCTACATTTGCTTGTCTCCTACATCTATTTAACTTCCTCCGGCAAGCTGTGAAGTTTCAGTTGTCTAATTTACTTGTGCATGAAAGTATGGATGTTTATTTTTCCACTTAAGTAAGAGGCCTCTATTATTAACAAGACATTTGAAAAACAGTTTTTGAAATTTATTTCTTTAACACTGCTAAGAAAGAAAAATAAATTGTGTAACACATAACATATTTGCTAAACAAATAAGAGTTCGCACTTCATTGCTTACTCCCTATGGTGACAAATACATTAATTTCTTGAACTTCTACATCCACATAGTTGAGAAGCAAGGCAAAAGGTGATATAACAAAGTTACGGATTCTCTGAGCCACAAAGAATTTCTTGACTTCACGTGGAAAAACTCCACTGACCCTGAATATGTACAATACACGCATGTATTTCCTGTATATGTGTTCACTTCTTTTTGAAATTCTGCACAATTCAGTTGAAACCACACTGTACATACTATGTATGTATGTCTGTATGTATTTACATGTAAACATGTTTAAATAATGGTATAAACAAGAAAGGGAGTCTTCCTCTGGACAAAAATTAGTTACCTGCAAAGCATTAATTCACAATCAAAGCAATGTCACAGCCTAGAAACAATATCAAGACAACTAACGAAAAAGCTTATTTTATCTTCCACACATCTGAGGGAGCTAATAATCTTTCCAAAACAGATTTTCAATTAGGTATCCATACTAAATAATAACTTTTCCCACAACAGTAAGTTACAAAATCAAAGATTACGTTAAAGAATTACCACTGACAGAAAAAAAGTCTATGCAGTTGTTCTTGAAAATGCTGTAATAAAACAAATAAAAAAGCAGAAAAGCAAAGTCAAAATACTATGTAAGAAGAACAGCATTATCTCGGTAGTTTAAATATTGACACCTATTATAGTATGTCATCTAACAAGCAAAGAATTTTAAAACAAAAAACATACACTCACCAGAACATTAGGTCTTCTGTCATGGTCAACTACATCTAGCAAAGGGTGTTTCTCCCGCAATGTTTCAATGGTGATAGGTTGACAGAAACCAAGGCTGGGAAAATATCAGTTAAGGATACAGAACTGCTTATATTATAAGTTTTTAAAAATCGGTAATTCCATTTTAACATATGCATTTATCTGGTAAAGCAAATTATTTAGGAAAGAAAGCAACATATCAAAGACTGACTCTTCTTCTGTGAGATAAAAAGATGAGTCTCCCATTATTTATAAATAGGAGACCTGTGTGTCTAAAATCTTAGGACAGAAATTATACATGAATCTTTCTCAAAACATGAGATGAAAAGCAAAGAAGCCACTCTACACCTGCAATATTCCAAGATCAGCTTTCCACAAGCACAAAAAGAAGTTAATCTAGCAGCAAGACAAAATACTGTGCAATTATTACAGGAAAGAAATATGAGCTAGTTGAGGAAAAAATACTGTCTCCACAAACTGTGCTTTCCTCAGGCCAGTATAGTTGCAAACATGTCGCTAGGTAAACAATGCTGTAAAGCTCAGCTGCCTGCAAAATGGTGGACTGACCGATCAGGTTTAATTATGCTCTACAAGTAGTCGAGATAAATACCAAAACATATCAAAAAAGGAACGGACCAAAAGGAAAAAATTAACCTTCTGATTTGCACAGTAGTGCTCTGACATGTTGATATATGCCATTAATTTAAATTTAGTTAACAAGTGGTAATCAGACTAAAACTGCTCATTTATGTAGAAAGCAGCTGTGGTGTTACTCTCAATACTAAGGCAACTTCTTACAATGCAAATGAAAATAAGAGCCGTATAACAGATACAGCTAAATAAACTAAGCTACCTGATTTTTATTGGAATTAACACCAGAGACCATTTGTAAAGTTATTTTAAGATAGGATTATCCCGTATGAAAATGCTATCTAACAGAAATGTGGGTTTTATATTTTGTATTCAGTCTTGAAATATACTTTTGTCTTGGCCATGCCTAACAAATTTTGACAGTTAACTGAAATGTTCTTTCGATAACTTTTTCTCATCTTTGTATTTGAAATAAAGCTTATACTTAAAAGTTGCATATACATTTTTTACAACTTATGATTAATAACAACTTTAAAATCCCAATAAAGGAAGAAGTGCAGAAGGGAGTTACTGGAAACATGAGCGAAGACTACACAAAAGTTAAAGTCATTAAATTACAGTTTGAAGCTCTGATACTGTCATTATATCAACATAATTCAAGTTCTTTTGGGCACACAGTATAGAAGTGGCAAAATATTATCAAGTCTAGTTCTACTCTAGATGCTGGTAACAAAAACAATGTGACATAGCTTGGCCACATGCTTCTAAGTGGATCTTGAGCCAGAGCTAAAAGTCAGATGTGATAAATACCAGATAGAATACCACACTCACATCCCCAAGAGAACGCAAACCCTTTGTGCTAAAGTGTCATTTACAGATGAGTAAAAAAAAAAAATTATTTCTCTTTTTTTCCTTTGCCATTAAAAATAAATAGAACGAAGTGAAGCAAGTATCAACACACCAGCCATTTTCAAAACATAGATTTGATATCGTGGTAAGAACTACCATCGCTTATTACTGGATTTGTAGTGTTGAAATATTTGGTCTTCGCTTGATCCACAGGACTCCCTGAACTTGATTAAGGAAACTACTTAAACAGCAAGTTAGGTTTTTTTAAAAGATACTCTTGAGCAATATCAAGAAGTGGTCCTTGTCCAGATACAAGAACACATTTTTCATGATAACGTTTGAACATCCGCAGAGGACTGTGCGACATCATCACTTGATCTTGTGAAATCTGTTTGGGATTTAAAAACAAAAGGTCTCTGTTGTTTTTCAGATATACGTAGATTTAATAAACAGGTATGACAAATTCTATAAATTACAAAATAATCATACCTATCTACCTAAAACCCTACCCTATCATTTTCTCCTAAGTTTCACAGAAGACATACTGATAATATGCCAGAAAAAAATACATTACTGACAAATTATCATATACGCCCCTTTCAGCTTCCAGAATTACTCTGTTCAACATAAACACCACGTTTTCTCTCCTAGTTTTCATAGGACCACCAAATTCATTTAGAAAACAAACCAGGAAGAAGAATCAGAACTGCCTGAGTTCCCTTTGCTAGACTGCAGCACTGATTTAATTGTATCAGAAGACCTTCTTTTAGTTCACACATCCCCGTTCCTTCAATAGGCACAGTAAAATTATTATCCTGGAAGGATGCTGCTATTATGCATTGCTACTTATCACCTTTACAGATCTAAAAAACACAAAGCCAGTTGAGATGTCGTTTTACCCATGACCCAGAGGATGTTACTGATACAGATATGCCCATGTCTGCTGGCCCTTACTGAAACAAAAAACACTGCAGAACTGTCTTTAGCGGCTTTATCTTAGTTATGCTCAAACCCAGTCTCCAACAATGGAGAAGTCCTACTGCCTGCAGCGCCCACAAATCAGGGGGGAATAAAGTCTTACCACTTGTATCAAAAAGAGGCAAGAAGCTCCTGTCTTGCACATTATCACAGAAGACATTCAGCTTGCCAGAGCAGTTCCACATTACTGGCAAATACATTTTTTTATTCAGAATGAGAAGGCAAGATTTATTCCCACAATAATAATATTGCAAAGAAGTACCATTACCACTAGCTTTACTATTGGAAACATCAGCACCTTTACCAATGGAAATACCATTAGCTTTGGACAGCATTTTTTGCTTTTACAATACCTCCAAGCAAAGCATTTCACGGGACTTAAGGGAAAACCAAAACTGATTAACTGAGCAGCATTTAATACCATAATTAAATAACTAAATAAATAGGATTTAAGCTACGCTACTCACCGGAACTCCCAGTAGATGAGACAACTGATCAGCTTTGTTCTGGCGAAGGCAATTCCCTGCATTGGTGACAAACACTACAGGCACCAAAAACTGTCCCTGAGAATTCACTAGCTTTTGAAAGGCTGTTTTTGCAGCAGGAATTGGAGTCTTTCCTCGTACCAGTACACCATCAATGTCAAATAGAAAACCAAAGGATGGCAGCACGTTGAGCTGTAAGAAAGAATTGAAGAGTACATTAGTTATGCCCTTATCTATGCCCGTTTGATAAAGCTTACAATAGCTAAAGCCCAATGAAAAGAGATGCTTCTACAGAGAAGGAACTGATCTTTAACTCTGCACATTTTAATGTGCCTTACAGACATATTCATATGCTAAAATACCTACTGTGATAAAAGAAGCACTACAACTCCCTTCTTGTGCATACAGCCTCATGAGTTCCATCTTGCTTTAGGAGTAGCTCCAGAACATTTCAGAAGATGGGGACAGACTGAGTTAAACTGATAAAATGAGGTACAAAATGCATACTGCTGTGCCAGCGAGTCACACTCTTGACTGATTTAACCCCACTCTATTTCACAGGTAATTACAGTGCACAGAATACTAACAACATAAACAAAAGTAAATTTTTCAGCGGCAGCTAGGTCTTGAATGCAAATATTGTACTTGGCTCTCCCCTTACAAAATGTTTAGATACTAAATCCATTCCTGCTGTCACTTGTACCTTCCAGTTCCACAAAAGGTTTAACTTCAGCTAGGTATCTGTTGTGCTCCTTATACATTGCTTCAGTCAATTCTTAACTATAGATATATGGCAGACTAATGCCTACTGGTAAAGTTAGCACCTCTTTACACAAAGATGCTGTTTGAATTACTAAAATATATCTCATTGCCTGCCTTTGAAGAAGTGAAGAGCTGGACTTCATGAGCCTGGAAAAGGCAAGTGAGGCTAACTGGGGGTAAGAGCGATGAGCTTAAGCCCAAGGAGCAGAGACAGGACTGTGGAGCAATGAAATTGTTACCGAATAAGGCTGGAAAAGGATGGACAAAAAAGGTCTATAATCTAATTTTTTTTCTTTTTTTCCTCCCAAGGCTAAAATGGAATTGAGGACTCTTGGGATTTATGATCCCCTCTTTCATCGTCTGATGAAAAAGGAGGGATTAAGCATTGAGACTGAGCGTGATGGGGAGAACAGGCACAGATATTACTCTGGCTGGAGGAGGTGGGCCAGCCTTTGCTATTCACACTGCTGAGGGCACGTACTGACAGCACTCCAGCCCGCTGTTCTTCCCGTGCGGGGAGAAGGGCATTCTGCCTATCTAAGCAGCACTTTGTTCCTCATCAATTATTCATCTGCTACATTTTTTCTGCAGCTGGGTACAGCACAGAGATAGACACTGCCGCCGCCACCGTGTGAAAGGTGATGTAGCTACAGACACACCGACTCCCTGCTGCCTTTTCTAAAACCGTGGCACACAAACGACATTTGAAAACCCATGAGTTTGAATACATTCCCTTACAGAGCCCAATTTAATAGTCAACACTTTAATTGCATTGCATTGTCATTAATTTAAATGAGGAAGTTGGTTTTTGTTTAGTTTTACACGCAAGAACTCCCCCTGAAGCCGGCTCCTTTTTCCCCTACATAATCATCAGCCCTCTATTTAAAAACAAAGAACCCTGCAACCATTGTCTCCAAGTTGTCTGCAAGTTGCAGGAATGCTACATTAGCAATAACCCAGTTGCTACAGAAATGACAGCGCAGGCTTGGTGATAAACATACAGTAGTCTTCTCATGCTTTGTAAATTGGCATATGAAACTACTGAAACTTTATTGTAAGAGTTTTGTAATAAATGCAGTTCTTCATATTAATTTTGCTATCTGTAAATAAAGTAGATTACAAATATGAATTTTACAGTGAACAGCACTGTAGCAAAAACCGAAAAAGTGTATTTTGCTAAATATACAGAGAATAAAAAAAGAAGAAAGGAAATCAGCCCATATCCAACAGGGAAACAATTAAATTAACAGCTTTTTTTTTTTTTTTTTTCGTTTTGGCCATAAAAGGAACGCTCTCTTCGCTCCAGAAGAGCTCTGCAGCGGCGAAGGGGCCGGGACGAAGCCCCCGCTCCCTCCCGTGCGCCACCGCCGCGGGATCGCCTCCGCTGTCCCTCTGGACCCCGCGCAGAGCGGAGGCCGGCCCGCGGAAAGGGGCGGCTCGCCGGCCCCGCCGAGCAACCCCCCGGGGAACCACCTCCCACGCCCCGGGTGGGACGGCGGAGAGACGGGCCGGGGGGAGCCCCCGGGCGCGGCCCCCGCCCCGCAGCCCCTCAGCCCCCCCGGCCGCGCCCCGCCACACCCGCGGGCGCCGCGCCCCGCCGAGGCTTTCGCTGCCGCCGCCCGAGGCCGTTCCGGTTTGGCTCCGGGTCGCCCCGGCATGCCTCGAAGCGGCCGGCACTTCCCCCCCGGTCCTGCCCGCTCCCGGGCCCCAACCGCCGGCCCGCGGCCGCCCCCCGCTTACCTCGCCGCCGCACCCCTCAGCCGCGGGCGCGCCGCAGAGCCCGCTGAGCGCCGGCAGCCAGGGCGGCCGCCCCGCCGCGCCGGCCCCGAGGAGAGCGCGGAGCGGCGGCAGCGCCCGCCGCATCCCGCCCGCGGGTGAGGGCAGCCGGGGGGACGGACGGCGGCAGCGCCCAGCCTCCCCCGCCGGGACAGCAGGCCCCGCCGCCCGGCCCAGGCCCCGCCCTCAGGCGCCGAGCCGGGCCTGGCGCTGGGCGCGGAGCTGAGCGCACCCCGCGGCGCCAACCGCCACCCGGGGGCCGTGAGGGCGAGAACCAGACATCCCCCCCCTCGCCACGCTGACGGCAGCCGCAGCGCAAGGGGGCTTGCGGCACAGACCCTGGAGCTGCAAGGCCGGGAGCCAGCGGGCGGCTCTGCTGCCTGACCCTCCTCACACGCAGCGGGAGGTGGTACCACAGCAGCAGCAAAGGAAGAGAGCTGCACGGAATTTCTACCGAGGAAATTACTTCGGTTTTCCTCAATAACAAATCAGACTTTCTTTCTGGTTCTTCGGGAATTAATGCTTTTTGGAAAAAAGCGTATCGTGTATACACACAAACACTGCAGTATCTTAGACTGGGATTGCAAAGGTATTTCCCAGCAACAAGACTTGAAAGTGAGAAAACAAGCACAAAATATCGTTAATGGATACTCTGCAAAGCTATCTCTGTTTATCTTGCTCATAGGTTAATACAGATTAGGTAAATCCACTTATTTCCTAGTACTGCCAACAAATGCTCCTCACCAACATCTCTCAGGCTTCAGGGAGAAACTGATCCTCCAGCGATGGCACTGCACTCACTGAGACAAAGAATAAAGCTGGTGCCTTTCAATCTGCACCACTTACATGGTTGGCATTAAATGAAATGTAATCGAATGCATTTCTAAAACACAAAAGCAAGCCAAAATTGATGCAGGGAACAGAACAATTAAGGAAGTTACCCCGCAGAGCTCAAGCCAGGATCATGCACAGCACAGAACTCTGAGGCAGACATGAGAACAAGTTTCAAGTAAGTGTGTATAAAATTACATTTTATAACCTTGACATGTTCGAGGCTGAGGTATTATACAGATGGTACGAGCTATAAGCCTGATAATATACACATGTCTAAGTAGAGCTGCACACTGAAAAAAGTTAATGAAAGCAAGAGTTAATGCGGAGCCTATGCACCGTTTCATTCTCTAGGACAAACTACAAGACAAGGTTCCTGGCTTTGGCTACAGACGCTTCCCAGCCCTGACCCCACCAGCAATTTAACAGCCTGTACAGCAAGCAGAACATGGACATTTTCCTACAGGCCACTGCTGGCAAATAATTACTCTGCATTGTTGGCTCACAAGCAGCCAAAAAGTGCAATCAGCTTTAAAATGCTTAGCACTCAGAGCTACAGAACAATTTAGTACAGCAGGCTCAAACAGCAGCCACAGCTTGCATTGCACAGTTCCATACTGCGTTTTTATACATTTCTGTGTTGGTCAGCAGTGATCAGCACTGCCTTAAAACCTTCTCTATTTATCTCACTATACTGGTCTTACTCAAGGCTGGTAGCTACTCCTTTGAACACGAATGCAATGACTATCCTGTCTCGATTTTCTCCCATTCTTTCAATTTATTCTTTTTTAATGCCTTCTGTCATTAACACTCTGTCCCTGATATGTCTTCAGTCTTCTGTTTTCTATGTCTTCACTCCTATAGTTACAGGAGGGATCAACCATCGGTACCATCAAACGCCCGGACTGTATCAGGCCAGAAAAACTAGTTGGGTTTTTCCCCCTCTAAATCTAGCTTGGTTACCTCCAGCATATAGTTTAGCAAATCTACAGCTAGACAGGCATTCCTCTTCCAAACACTGTACCCCTAGAAGAAAAAACTGTTGTACTGAACAAAAAACAGCAACACAACACAAAAAACAGTCTAGCAGAAGCATGGTTGCCAAGGGGCTGTTCACAACAGAGCTTTAACTCTAAACACCTTTTCAGCAAGTCCATTTGGTTGCTCCAGTTTTTTGCTGTCACATCCCCTCTGCCCTGGTCGTACTATGGTTTGGTGACCAAAACTCCTGAAACATGATAAAAGGCTTAGTAGACTACCTGCCAACTTACTCAGCTTCAGGGACTTGACTAGTGGCTTAGTACCAGGAAAGAAAGCCTTTAACCTTCACATCGGCAAAATGTACCAGTCTGATCCAGTATTGCTAAACCATAAACTGGTTAAGCACATCCAACATGAAAGGAGACTATTTTTCAATTCTTGGCAGCCAGGGGAAACAGTGTTGTCTTCTAGGGCAAACCAAGCATGTGGATAAAAGCACATGACCTCCTCTGAACTGAAGAACAGAAAACACTCAAGGGGCAGCAGCAAAAACTAAAAGCAACTTTAGAGATACGCTTGCAACTCAGAGCACACAAATTATTACAAGTCAAACATACTCATTTGCTGCTTTATCACAAAGGAGGGCACGCTATGCTACTAACAGGAAGAGAGAATAACGTGTTTGTAATGTTAGTTGTTTGCTTGCTATCAGTACTTGAGGTTTTTAACTTTTTAAGGTTTTAATTTGGCAGCTATGCTTACCACTTTTTTCAAGGCTTTCTTTGTTTTATCATTTACATCAAGTAAGGCAAAGCTTGCCTCTCATTTAGAGCTTTAATTGTTCTGGAGTGGATTATTTACAATAGATAGTGCTGAATACTCAAAGCATCTTGAAACTCTTAAGTAGTCTCAGACATAGTTACTTGGTTGTTAAATACTGTATTCGTTAGATAGCACTTCTACTCTATGGCTGCAGATGTCCAACTGAAGATTTCATTCATTTAGACGGGTGTAACGACATTAGTCACCATACGCCTCAGAACAGGCCCTGCTGTAATCTGCCTGTTGTCACGGGATACACAAGCTAAGAGCAGCAGGGGATGCAGAGCTTCAAACCCCTACATGGACGGCTGTTTACGATCCCATTCTTTAGCTACAATTAGAGAAACAATACAATCATTTGAGCTAGAATGAAACAAGACATCAGGTTGTAAATAAGTTTTACTACAAATATTTGAACAAGGTATTGCAAAGTTGGAAGTATTTACAATAGTTGCTGAAATATCCAGCATTTAAGCAATTCACCCAGGCACGGTTACAAACCACAAAAAGGGTAATAGCTTTTAGACATACTGCATGTGTTACACAAAGGACCGAGCCAATTTCGAAGTCACTCCTAAGATCTGCCATCAAGGCACCTCTAAACAGGTTCTAGGTTATTCTGGTAAACTAACCAGGCACAATACTGTAAGTTACTTCTGGACTCACCTCAGCAAAAATCAACATGAGAAAGATGTGTACACTTACAGTCAGGATACGGCAGACGGAAGGGCGGTAACATCAGTCGGTTTTCCTTCAGGATTTAAGGAGTCACTGGGTTTGTGGCTCTACCCATAAGAGGCACCACTGCACTGACTGTTTTACAGAGTGAAAGGATTGAAGACAGTTACTGAAGATGTAAGAGACAAGTTTACCTAGGTTTGATCTTTTTCAACACTGAAATGCAAGTCATCCTAGTGGATAAACCAAAATGATGGTTCTTCCTTCTGCAGAACACACTGTAAACTCATCAGCTTACTCTTAACATTCAAAGGGGCTTTTAAAGCTATAAGCGACTGCTACCAGAATATACGAGCCTGTAGATGGGTTATACAAAACCCAGGCCATACTGGTGCAAGGTTACAATCCTAGAAGTGTTTTTGCTTCTTCACTCTGTGCCATGAGGGTTTCACTGGCATATTTCTGAAGCAGCTCCATCTTCTTTCTCCGTACAAGAGCTTCCTCAATCTGCAAATATAAAAATAGGATGACATTGAGCTTTATTAAGATGCCAAAACCTAGCACATTTAGCTATTAAGACAAGAGGAAGAAAAACAGAGGAAACAGATCGTGAAAGTTAGAGGTGTGTACGGGTGTAAAAGTAGCTGCATTAAGATGAAGCAGGAGTATCTTTTTTAACACTCAACTGAAGCTCATGGAAGTCAAAAGAAGCACGAAAACAGATGCCTCCATTTCAGATCTGTGCTCCCACCCTTTACAATTAGGGTGTTAGCTCCCATTTTATTTTATATTCTCAGTACAGTCACTTGAATATTGTTTCAAACAATTGTCTCAGAGTCTTAACAAATGCAGAACACGTGCAATTACGCCACCCTCGTCCACACACCCAAAGTAACAGTTTAGTGAGTGTGCCTTTCACAGGAGCAACGGCTGTGAACCTCTTCCTTAAATTTTGTCTAGAAGTGCCAGCAATACACGATTTTTAACCACCATGTACTTTAAAGATCTGCTAATAGCAACCTGCAAGACTTGTTTTAATCTCAGTAATGATTTTATATTTGCCCAGACTGCACACAGCATCTCTCAAAAATAAGTGTTCTGAACCTTAGCTTTTTGTAATTTAGGATCTAGAAGGCATAATCAAGGAATGGAGTGATTTACCACTCAAGAAGAGCGAAGATTACACTGACTACTGTCTTCTAATTAGAAAAGATTGCTATGTGTATCAGTGGTTATGTATTAGGAAGCCAGTTTTGACTCTCAGTTACGCTGTCTTCATTAAGAGAATACCACTGGCCAGAAAGCAATGTTTTTAGGCATTATTTCTCTCCTGCAGTTTTGACAAGCCATTACATGTATATTTTGTCGAACGTGCAGGATCTTGACTTCACAGGAGAATACAGCTTTGCCATCTGACAAGATGGCAGCAGGGGACAAACCACCACATGCTACCTGCACGATGTAAAGGCATACCTACCAAAAGATACATAGCTCCAGAACCTTATTGTCTGAGTTATATTTCAAACAACCTGTCACTGTTACAGTAATACGTACCCTAGAGCAGTTTCAAAATACAATAGTCAACTCAAGGTCATGCCACCAAAATAATTTTAGAAAACTCATGACAGCAAACCCTGCAACTCAGAAATCATCCCATTAAATTAAAAAAAAGTTAGACTGTCAGCAGAAAAGCACAGCAAAGATAAAGTAGGCAATCAGGGTTATCTTGATCATAACACCACAGCACTTTCCCATTTATGTAATACTTATATAGGTTTTGGAACTTCTCAGGTGAAAAGGGTTATAGCAATGGTACCATAATTCTGGCCAGTTCCACAGCATTTGCAAGAGAATTAAACAGCTGCAGAGTCAAGTCACAGAATTAACAAATCAAGGACACTTTTAATTCTGACCTGCCATAAATTAAGAGCTCTGTCTTGCAAAAGTCAGTGTGGATCTCTGCAACTTAACTTTGTTATGTCTTACCTCCTGTTGAGATGGCACTGGAACATGTGCAATAAATTTCTGTTGGCCTTCTTCACCTTCTTTTTCCTTGCCACCTTCCTCATCGGACTGAAAAAAAAAAATGAAGCCACATCAAGTTTACTTTCTAAAGAGGTCATCAAAAAAACCTTTTACTTGCTTTGCCAAAAGGAGCAGGATAGAACATGATCAATGCTACAAACACAAGCAGTAGGTAAATAGGACCGAACAACAAAGGAATATGACAAGCATCACATTCAGATCCTGCTCCTAGACATTTTTAGAATTATTGCTTTCATGCTTCATATAGCTTTTCTTCTGCTGTGGCATGGGCATGAATGTAAAGCTATATTCCCTCCTCTTCCATATCTCTCTGGCTGCCATAGCAAAGCTATAAACAAGAGGAGACAGCTAACCAAGAAGAAAGCAAGTGCTTTAAAAATATATGTACCACTTGCTTGTATAGATCTATACTGTTTTGTTCTCACACCTGAGAACTGGGCTTATGAATCACGAGATGATAGAAATAAAACAGGGTACTGAAGGAACCACTAGTCTTACCTTATGAACTATCTCTTTTTTAGTCTTGTGATAAATCCACTTAGGTATGGACTGCAAAATAAGAGCGAGTTTCCAGTACCCCTTTTACAGATTTTCGAGAGCGGTGGCAACGTCCCTCACTTCTCCTACTGGCATTGGCAGCAGGAACAATGAAGGGACACAAGAGCCACGTCACAGCAGTGACTGCAGCATCAGCACAGCCTTGCTGTATCAGGATTCAACTATAAACAGGATCCTGGCAACCCCTGGTTTTGCTACGCACTGGCAGCGTGAAATTATACCGTACACAAAACTGCTTGTGCTGTTACTGATGTAGACTGCGCTTCGATGCAAGGCTGATCAGTGTGAAGTTAACAACACACTACCTTACAAATACCAGCATTCCAGGCAGTGACAGTCAAATCACAACAAGGTCTCAGCTGTTAGTTGTTTCTCACTCAAGTAAAGTCTTCCCTAGCTGCCAGCTTGCATTGCTCTCTGAACATGGAGCAAGGGTACTCATCCGCTGCAGATTTTTACTCAACAGGGACAGCTGTATAGTGAGTTAGGCAGAGAGAAGGGCAGAACACAGCAGCAGACAGGTTCCTGGCAAAGTAACTGTATGTCCAAGGGGACAGCATAGAAGACATGCGAAATGTTACATCACCTTAGTCATCACATACCTCATCATCGTTGACAGCATAGATATTTACTTCCTCCTCCTCTTCCTCCTCACCTCTGGCAAGTCGTGCTTCTCTCTCCATTTTCCATTTTTCCACTGCTTCTGCTATAACTGGTTAGCAAAGGAAAAACGGCAAGTTATCTGAGAGCAGGTTAAAGCAGCACAGTCCTATTTCCAAAGCTTTTCCAGCAGACTTAAGCTTCTTGCTTAAATCCTCTACATCGGTAACATACACTTACTGTAGAGCCTTGATGTTGTATCTAATAAAATACAACGTCACCTGAGCAAAACCACATTGTGGAAGTGTGGTACTTCCTAATGTCTTAATTTGGGTACATTTTAGACTCTAAATGTCGTGGTTAAATATCAACCTACTTTCTGAACTGAGTAACACGGGGTCACACAACCAGGATAAGTGGCTCTTACAGCTCTGTAGCACGTCAACAGCTATAAGAATGCTGATCACCATGTAGTTAATTAAACATGATTACGCCCCTTACAGTGACGACCCACAAGTCTTTCTTTTCACCTCGTAGTGCATTTCTCTTATTTTATAGCACAATTCCAGTTCTGTAACTTGCTGCTAGCTAGGAGGTGTTACGCTGCTGTATCCCTACTACACAGCAGAGTGCTAGAATGAGCACTAAAACAAGTTTTAAGAAGCTTAATCAGTGACATCGCCAGTGTACAAAAATCCTAGAAAAATGCAAGATTAATGCAACTAGGCAGTATGAAATGCCTACAACCTAAGTCAGCAGTCATTCCTCCTAGCTCTCGAAGAACAAATATTAAAATGCTCTCCCTGAGAAAGCAAGATCTAACTAACTAATGGCACATGGATGCATTTTTGCGTGGTTTTGTAATAGAAAAGTCCCAAATTAAGAAGCTTTTTCAATACTTTGTTTCACAAAAATTTAACTCTTCTGATAACAAGGTAAAAAACACAAGAGCCCAGAAAACAAGTGACCCTAAGAGAATCTTGGCTATTGTGCATTATTAGTACATTAATTCTACAGTAATAGTCCACCTATTGGTTCTGTTAGCATCTCTAGCCTTGTTATTTCAAGTGGCACAATCACTAAAGATAATTCTCTTAAATAGCCACATGAATCTAGATGAGCTACCTCTCCTATTTGCAATCAGCAAGACGTGCAAGATGAACACCGAGTGCGTGGCCTTTCTGGGAGCGCTGCCCCACACAACGTCCCTTCCTAGCTATCAATTGTCTGTCAGCCAGCTACAGTTCACTTGGTTTAAGGATCTAGCCTATGCTGCAGGAGACAGATAAGTGAATTTCCTTTATTCTCCTCTTTCTCCCTGTCCTATAATCTAACCGACAAGGCACGATCTCTAACACATAATGCTGTGGAGATCTCACACATGGAGAAAGGATAAATGTAAGCAGTGGATAACCACCCCAAGATACTAAGTACCGATAACAGTTACAAGCTCAACAACTTGTAATCATTCAAGCACCTCACTTCCTGCAGTTCTGTTTAAAGTTTTTCTCTCTTAATTCCAAAGAGATAATTGTATACAAAAAGAAGCACCAGTCAAGCTAAATCTGATTGTCTTAACTGCTGCGTTCTGTGGAAGAGCCTGCCAAGGGTTTCTATACCAGGACCTTGTCCTACAGAGCACTGAGGATTTGCCTGCAGTTGAAATTTCAAAAGAAGAGATCATAAAACAAACATACAATGCAAACAGCAACAAATTCCCAGGACCAGGACTGAAAGAACTATTTATCAAACAGCTAAGCTCTTAAAGGTGCTGGATAGCCTCTTGCTTAAAGCTACACAAATACCAGAAGATGGCACACAGTGCTGAATTTTAAAGAGAGTTTCAGGAATTAGACTTATAATCCTTATGTCTTTACCAGGCAAGTCAGCAGAAACAAAGCTGGAGAACTAAGTGAGGAGACACATGGATAAATACTATCTAATGAGGAAGTATGGGTTTCAAAGGAAAAAATATTCATAAATATGCTGAAGTTCTGAGATAGATGATGTGGATAAATTAACACAGGCTACCTAAACTTCAGGATTTTCAGAAGGTCCCCTCTAATCTCCAAGAAAACTAAACAGTTACGTTTATGGATAAATCATTAGGTACTACAGGAAACAGATGGTACAGCCAGTTTTCACAAAGGAGGGAAATAACCACTTGAGTTGCACAGATCTCCCTGCTGCAACTTACTCTTTTACATTCTTAAGCATGAAAAAGGTGGGAGAAAAGAATGAGATTTTGCTTCAGTAGTGAATCACTTGCTGACAGTATTAAATCGTTAATAAACATAAAAGCCAACTCTAAAGCACACACCCCCCTCACCCCTGAAATGCCTTACACAATAGTGCACTTGGATACCTCTGTGATGGATGAAATCTGACAGCTAAGCACAAGACAACACCCACAAGGGATGGGTGGGGGGAAATAAATATATATATTTTAACTGCACAGTCCAGAGTCCACCATCACCGCTTCTTGGACTGATTTATCCAAGCTCTGAATGTCACATACCTTTCTTTTCGTGTTCTTGTTCCAGTGGCTCCAGAATACCATCATCTTCATCCCTGTAGCCATAGTATTCTGCATCAATGGCTTTCATAAGCTCAGCTCGAGTTTTCCGAGGTGGTGGGAGGGCTGAAAGAAGAGGACTGTCATTCCTCCAGGTCCATCCTGAGAGCTTGCTCTGCGTTCCCAGTTCCTGTCAACCTCACAGCAACTACAGCTACCTCGTTTGAGCCAATAACCAACATGTGATCTGAACTGCCATCAACGTCAGGAGTACTGGTATTTTACTCTGGCCTGCACAAAACAGTTTGAATACATGACGTGATGCTTCATATTGCACAGCTCCCACCCTGTGGCAATTCTACACTGTCACACACATGGGGTTTTTGCCCCCCTGTACTGGAGTCCCAGTACTGAGCAGTACTTCCCATCATTTTTCTTTGCAGATGGCAAGTAAGAAAGAGCTGATTCAGTAGGCTTGCCTCACTTTCAGGTCCAAGTAATTCCCACTCATTCTATGACAAATCTGTATATAAGGTTTTATCCACTTACATTTGATTCCTGCTTCTAAAATTATGTTCAAGCCAACTTTTTTTTTTTTTTTAATTCTGAACTCAGAGTGCTATTTAGAATTTACCAATACAGTTAACCTCTTACACTAGAAAGTTTCTATAGAACACCTGTCCTTACCATTTGGAACTCCCAGCAGAAAACAGCTTACTCTTTTCTACATTTCCTTAACTACAAACAGCCAAAGGGGTTCTTTGCCCAAAGAAATAGCATTCAATTACTTCTGTTCAGTGTTTCATTTAGCTGATTTAAGACATAGGCCAGAATATGCTGTTACCACCATTCCTCACATACTACAGCAGATACTTTACTCAAGATATACTACTATGTAGAGTCAAGTCTGGGACAAGTTGCTATTTACTTACGTTCCTTTTCAAAAAGTTCTCTAACTCCTGGTAAATCCTTTGCAGCTCCAAAATATTTGTAACCTCTGTTTCCTGGAACCTCCTTCCCTTCATGATCTAACATTTTTGGTCCAATCCGCTAGAAAATAAACAGAGTTCATTGTTTTCAATTTTATTCCTCTTGCATCTTGTGTCTCCTGTTTTCCTGGGCATCTTACGAGTTTAAAGGACTGGGAGAGGAGATATGCTAGAGCAGTTTAAACTACCCCACAAGTAGAACATCTTCATAGCTCATTTTTATACAAGTTCTCTACTTTTACTACAAATCACATTTAAAATGACCATGCAAACTACAGAGAGCCCATACTAGATTGACCTTCACAAAATATCTAAAATTGTCTTATTCTCTGCACTAGTATATTTAGGCATCAGATAAACAAGCACTACTAAATTTGACAGTAAGCATATATTTAAGGTTTTGGCAAGTAAGAGCTAGTGTCATTATTTAATTTTCAGCAGTAACAGGTGAGCCAAATGAAAATCCTTCTCCAGACTGATAGCATACAAGATAGAAAAACAACACTTACTGATGGGTAAAATCAGACCAGTGCTGCAAACTCTTATCGGGAAGGCAAGACCCACTGAACCATTGTTCCAAATGAAAAGTCTGATTTGCTCATCGTGGAAACAAATATTTATTCTAACACAAACTAACATTCGTAGGGGCTGAATAAAGTTCCTCTCTAATAAATGCTGGACAAGTAATATGTAGTTAACTAAACATTGCACATATTTTTTTCATCAGTCACTTTGCTTGTAAGCAGAACCACCAGGTAGTACAAAATAATCTGCACTTACAGCATAATCAGGACCTCCTAGCTCCTTTATTCTAAATTCCCAGTGTCCTTTCTCCCTCAGAAGCTTGTTTATTTCATCGTTCAGGTCTCGAATTCTGAATTCACCTAATCCAGCTGTCAGAGGGGAAAAAGGCAATAAATTAGGCAGTTTACTAGAAGCACCAGAGTAATTTCCAAATTTATGCAATGGAAACAGTATAGTTCACATGAAATACGATTTTTACTGTAACTGCTTAGGACCGGAGATTCAAAAAAAGAAAATGTAATTAAAAAATCTTACCATTTTGAATCTGTGCCACTTTCTTGGAAATTTCTCCAATGATCTAGTTACATAAGAACACAGAAGTGAAGTGAGTTTCTCAAAAAAAAAAAAAAATGGCTAGGAATGACTGAAAAAAAAAAACACCCTAGAAAGATCCAACTTCTTAAATTGGCTTTTTGATCTAGGAAAGAGCCCCAATCAATTTCAAATATCAACACAGATTTTATTCAGACACAAATATAGTATCTCAGACACTTAATCAACATGGAAACATTTTTACAGCTGTACATGTGATGATGGCAGGAACATGTGCAGTACAGAGAAAGGCCAAGAGAGAACTAGGTTTGACCTGCCTTACAACAAAAAGATAATAACATATTGCTGTCTTCAGCTACCTAACGGAGGGTATAGAGAAAACAGAGCCAGACTATTTGAGAGGTGCATGACAATAGGACAAGTAGCAACAAACACAAGTTGTAACTGGGGAAATTCTGATTAAATTCAAGGCGGGGGGGGGAAATCAATAAGGAAGTAATGGAACAGGGGCCCCAAAATGCTGTGGAATCCAAATCCCTAAAGATATTCAAAACTCAGTTGGATGTGGCCCTGGGCAACTTGACATGGTACAACCTGCTCTGAACACTGTGGTGAACTACATGATCTTCCAATCTAAATTATTCTGCAATTTAATTGTCAGCACACTGAAGAAGTCTGAAAAAAAATTTGTAAGTAGGCTGTCTAAATAGAAAGTGCTAAAGTTCTACCTATTATTATAGAAAAATCTATGGCTTGACATTACCTGTCGCCTCCATTTCTCAGCTTTAGGCAATTCATTACACTCTGATGCAAGGAAAGGTCTTCGTTCCTGTTTGACAGAAAGCCACACACCATGAAGTTTTAGCATCAATATATTCACGGCATTTCATGCAAAATTTATTGCTTAATTAACCCCAAACTATGCTACCAAGGTCCAGTGCCTTCTGCTCCCACCTATTTTTAGAAAATGGAAAACAATGACAATTTACAGCCCTGCCAAATTAAACTATCACAGAATAGAAAAATCTACTTAAATCCACTTTTTTTATTCAAAACAAAATCCATCACCTGTTTTTTCAAAACACCCCACAATCCTCTCCATTACAAATAATGCTCCATTTAGGACATTAGGAATTACAACATTTTCAGTATACTAGCATCTAAATAAAATCCACTGTCTCCCAAGTAGCTATTAAGTTTAGGCCTTTCTTTCTCAATTGCTACTACCTAAATAATGTATTTTTTTTCTAAGACGACCTTGTTTTGTCCTCTCTGAACTACAGTTTATCCAAACCACCTTTTTCCCAATCTTCTTCACATTCCATTGACTTGCTTACACAAACTAATACTTCATCTTATCTTTAGGACTCTGTATGCAGTTGTTTTGTCCCTTTCCCTACACTACTTCCACAGCTTTACCTCTTAAAAACCTTCCTTCATAGAGTATACTAGAAACTCTATTCCATCTTGTTCTCTGGCTGCTGTTCATGGAAGTCTCTTCCACTAATTTCTCCAAATGGTTATTTTCAACTTTACTGTTTCGTATTGCTCACACTCACGTGTAAAGCATAATTTCTTAAGGCACAAACATAGGACACCTCAGTTAGTTTCCAGAATTCCTTTGTCAGTTACCCAAAATTAAAAACTACAAATCTATCAAAAAAAAAGAGAACGCTCTGATTCCATGTAAATATTCTTGCAATTTGAGTTATGATTCAGTGAAAAATGTACAAGAATATCCAGAGACAGTTGAGAATCTGTCTTTGAGGTCGTGTGAGGATTTAGGGGTGCTATTTCTTTCATTATATTCGGGGGGGGGTGGGTTAAATTAAAGTTGCTAGGTCCATTTTTTTTTTGTCAATTTTACACCAATTAAAAAAAAGCTAGCTGCATGACAGCGAAGACAACTGTGAACAGATGCATGTGTTGGGTTAATAACATGCCAATGTTATGTCTCATGCAAGCCTTGAGCTCACAATGATCCTGAAGGTCCTCTGTTTTGTGGTTACTGTTTTCTCAGAATATACCAATGATCAAGATTATGAGAAGGATTTCTCTACCTCTTCCGGGAAGAAATCCAAACAAAGCTTGTGATTACTGTCAGTAAAGGTAATTGTATGTGCATCAATTTGTGTAAGTAGTTGCACAAGGAGATAACTTCAGTTTCAAAAATAATTTCCATTTTCTGTCCAGCATGCTGACTCTATAACATTACTGTAGTTTGGGTTTTTTCCAAACTATTACATATTCTACCTATATTACACAAAAAAATTAAGTGACATTCAATTTGCACTTTCTTCTCAGCAGACAAGCCAACACAGCTCTGAAACTACATATATGTAAATTTGTAAACAGGTTATTTAGTTAAGAAAAGTCGATTTACCATTTCTGTTTCACGCCACTAAATTACAGTCCCTACTTCAGCTCCTTTCCAGATGACTAACGACAGACTCCTACAAGATACCTGTATCTGCTACACGACCTTTCCAACAGGTGTCACACAGCTCTGTACAACGCTAACGTTCCATTCTTGACTAGAGCTAACAAAGTTTTAGTGTTTTTATGTCTTACCTTCACTTTTCCTTCCTCAAGCTGAGCTTGCCGAAATCTTGCCAAGGCCGTCCTAAAGAAAAGAGAGGAAACAGATTTACTTTTACAAATCTACATCCCAACAAAACCAAGTTTTGCTCTGGATGTTTATTACGGACTTAATTACAGTCTGTGGTAAACAAAGGCTTCAACATATTCATTGACTAGCTCTTCCAGATAGTGACTTCAACACTAGAAATCCTCGATGATCAGTTTCTTAGATAAATAGAAATCCTGGTAAGCAGCTAATTATTTTTTTCTGTTTAGCATATGCCAGCACATTAGATATTAGCAGCAAAAGGACATCAACAAGTTCTAAGCACATGCATTAAGTTTACATATCTTAGCAGGGGATATATCAAAAAGCAAACAAAACACTCAAGAGAAAAAAAGCTTCGGTAAGCAAAGCAGAAGTTAGTAACCAAGTTTATTAACATTTACCAAACTATTCTGAGTCTCTCACAACTGAGCAGAGACTACACACACTACAGGGGTGTTTTTTATATACAGTTTAATTTATTTATTAGACATTCAATAGTTACGTTTAAAAGCATAAAACAATTGAGCACATTTAAAACCTTTAACAGCATACCTATACCCTGCATCTAAGCCATTTATCTAGGCTCCATCTGCTGTTAAGAAGTATTTCCAGAATGAAAATCACACCATCCAATCCAGTGTCTCAGACGCACTGGACAGGACCACAGTATGAGAGCACCTCACAAAGTATTAGACACCTGTAATCTCTTCAGCCTCTTAGTTACTATTACAAGTATTTTAAGAAAAAGAACAAACATGAGACAAATATATTGAAAACCCCCAAATCTAATAGTTCTAAATATGTGGTCTGCAAATCTTTTTGAAAAATACTCAAGAAAATTAATACAAGTATGTTAAAACCCATTGGCCACTCCCAAGCAAGACGAGTTATACTTAAACCAATGCTGACAGACTCCTGTCCAGCATGTTCCAAAAATGGGACCTGCCTAAACCATAACGGGCCACTACAACACATTTTACATCGATCATCCAGCCCTTGCTGAGCTCCTTCCTTGCGCCGGCGATCAGTGCAGCACTGCCTGGCACAGCTATATGAGCCCCACAACACCGTGTACGGACACCTTGCACCATCTCCAGACCAGCATAACACGGGCAAGTAAGTCCTGAAAAGCATTACTAAACTCCCAGTGCTTTGAAAAGGGCTGAACAGTGAGTCCCACTGGGCCAGCATGGTTCTTTGGGTGTGAACCATGGCACAGAGGGCACAGATGTCTCTGATACCAAACAGAGCCAGTCTCAGGTGCGCAGGGCAGCGTGACACAGGGGCACGACTGTGCTGCTCCAGAAGATGGGATAAGGCAGATCGACCTCTGGAACCCGTAGGGGTCCCCACCCTAAGGCCAAAGCGAGCGGCACCCGTACGGCAGCGCCCGCTCAGGGAGCCGGGGAACCCCAGCAGCACCCCCAGCCTCACTCACATGGCCTTTTCCGCGTTTCGAGCCTGAAAGAGAGAAAACAGACACGGTGTTACTAACGGCCCTCAGCAGCGCCTCACCGCCATCCCCCCCTCCCCGAAACGCCCCCCGCTTCTTAAGGCCTGGAAGGAGGGAGCGGGCACCAGGCCCGCACCCCGCTCCTGATGGGCGGAGGGACATCCCGCCCGGTGTAGCAGCCACCGGTCGCTCCCCACGGAATCCCCACCGCCGGGCAACAGCACCAGCGGGCAGCAGGGACCCCCCCGGCCGCCCCAAGCAAGGCCCCACACTCACCATGGCGGCAACCGGCTCCCTCAGCCACGCCGGTACAGCAACTAACACCAACTGCGCATGCGCACCGGCGGGGGGGTGTGTGTGTGCGCGCGCCCCGCCCCATAGCCAATGAGCTGGGGGAGACGACGACACCGCGCATGCGCGCAGGCGGGCGGCGCCCCGCCCCTCGGCTAGAGGGTGGGGGGAGACGACGGCACCGCGCATGCGCAGAGCGCCCGGCGCGGCCCTCAGACGGCTTGTACACCGAGAGCCCAGAGCCGTTACCTGGAGCGCTTTTCACGGACCACAGTTCGTACAGCACATCTCCGTGTTTTAACACTAAAAATGTCTGTACTGCGCTATTTTTCTGTATGTAGCGTCAGCAGCGAGTGTGGGTTCTGCGCCGCCAGGCCTCCACAGCCCCGGGTGCACACACCACGGGCAGATCAGAAAATGCAACTCTCTCGTGCAGCAGCGAGTGGATTTATACCATGCATTCATATGAACAGCTAAGGGGAACCAAGGTATGAAATGCCGTGTTTGGGATCCCCCTCAGAACGATTCACATGCTGAAGGAGTCACAGTTAGCTTGCCTGGCTCACCACTTTCAAAATACAATTCAAGTAGGTGATGTGCAAAACTGTAAACTCCCAGCTACAAAATTTTGATTTGCACAATAATATTTGTTAGTCTTTTATAAAAGAGTAACTAGTTTTCCTGCTAATAATTTGAAAGTATTTCTCTTGAAATCCAAGTAGCTCTGTGCTGTGCTCTGTTCCAACGTTTTTGCTCCCGCCATACTTTAAGGGACATCAAGCCCTTCTGGAAAAGAAATCCGACACTTACCTCCTGTGGTGTTACTGCAGCATTTTTAGATCACAAAATAATAGTAATAAAAGTAAAAAATATTTTTGTATTCTTCCATATGCTTAGTTTCCCCACTTAGGAATGGAAAAGCACTTTTGCAGGTATTTCATATGTCACATTCAAGACTTCCTGCCCAGCAACAGCATTACAGGACATGGATTTAGAAACACGACACACCAACCACCTCCTCTTTATTCACCCAGCATAGGCTGCCACCTTTAATGGCAACATCCATCAACCCTTTGCTGTTTGTTGGTCTAAAAACCAAACTGGGAAAACTGGTTTTCAGTGAGAATTTACTCAATAACACTTCCCCTTCCAGAAAATGCTAGGCCTTCAGAGATCCCTGCATGTAGAAAACAATCTATTACACACTTACCTCTCTGCATTCCTGATCCATATAATCCACCAGATCTATGAAAACCACTACACTGGAGTTTGTCACGGGATTGGTCTTCAAAACTAATGAGATGATTCAGTGTTAGTGAAAAATATTAACATGGAACAAATGAAATACTAGGCTTGATTTTTCCAAGGCCCAACAGTTTCTGAAATCAGTATTTGCTTGTTCATCTTGTTAACTTTGAAACCACCAACATTTGAAGTAGTATCTAAAGTAGCATATTATTATATATATATTGAAGTAGTAACCTAAACTGCTCTTGACAGAAAGATGACTAGGAAGAGATCCCCGAGTTGGAATAATTTTCTCCTTTTTCAAGTTACACCCTGGTTGGTATTTCTCAGCTTTCAAATCAAATTTTGTTACAAAAAAATACATCTCGGAAAACACTACTACTTTTCAGACACACAGAAATTACTGTGACAATGTAACAGTTAAGCACCAGAGTACTAAGAAGCAGTGGCTGCAGGATCTCTGTAGCCAATCTTTATCACCAACTCCTACAGGAATAGAAAAGTATAGATGTCACCAGCACTGCTGGTCTTTGACACGGCAGTTTTTTTAGCTACAGGTTAAGTCACAAAGACTTTCAGGTTTCTGTAATCACAGAGCATCAAGCTTTATTACTATTCAACTAAGATAATTATATGTAAAGATTCAGTTAATTTATACTAACTTACCACTAGGCTGAGCAAGACTACGCTATGACTAGGCTATCTGTACTACCCCAAGCCAACCCACGCATTTCAATCGTGGATTTTGTGCCGGTTTTCACAACCGCGTTTAAGATGCAAAAGCACACTCATGCTCCAATAGCAGCTATTAAAAAATAAAGCCCAAACACACACACCTCCACACAACTCAGGCAAGGACCTCTTCCCCACCCCTTAATTCCACAGAGATGAAAAGCTTTGTTCTTCAGCAAATAGGCTGGACAAAAGGCGTCCTGTCAAAGGATTACAACCAATTGTAGTAGCAGCCACCCTCTCATTTTGGTTTTACACTCTGTAGCACCTGCCTATTACATCTTTATGTCACACTGACCAGGCAGAATATTTTTCTGCTTAGGCAAAGCAGTACAATAACATTCCCTCTTTAGGTGCTTCAGAGACTTCTTCCGACAGTTTGTTTCCTTCTGTCTCTGCAGCAGTCCCAACTCAGCCTTTCTAAAACCTGCTCAGGTTAGCCGCTGCCAGCCGCTGACCCAGGCTCTAGCCACCATGTACTTGGTATCTTCACTCAGCATCTCTTTCTACCTGAACTATGGCTCAACCTTTTCCACAGACTTTGAACATCAAACCCAGGCTGAAAACTTGAGTTCTTTATAAATGTTTATTTCATTAAATGTTAAGGAACTCTAAAGTGCTATGGCAGCCCACTGCAAAGCAGCAACAATCTGATCAGAGTTCACATGGTATGACACAGCAGCTATGACCATCACAATTTTCTTGGAGACACACACTTTAGATACCGGATTTCCTGAAACAACCTGAAGATTATGAGGTAATATGCCTGCTTTTACAGTTTCAAACACTCCCAGGTAAGACTCCTCATTGGGATCTTCAACTGAGTTCTCATCAGTCTTCCGTAAGCCTTACTCGTGCTAAGCCTGTGGCTTTCAGCAGACAGTAAGTTGTTCCTGGAAGACCACAACCTTCAGCGGCACTACTGCATGAACCATGTCACTTTTGTAATTTTCGCTTATTCTGGAAGCAAGGCTAACGTGATACTTAACTGATTTAACACAGATCTAGAAGACAATAGCGCTAATTTAGTTTTACTCTAGCGTAGCCGTACGTTATCAGTCTGGTACTTCTCTCTAGAGAGATCCACACACAGTTGTCCCAACATGACAGGCAATTTTTCACCGCTACAGCATACACAGCCTGTGAAAGACACTTTGGGACTTGAAAGAAATGAAAGCCTTTGGTCTGTGTGTGAAGATGCAAACAAAGCACACTATCCCTGATGACGGCCAGAGTGTGTATGATCTGCCAGAGCTCCTGAAGTCAGCCCAAGCTCAGGGAGGTACTCCAGCTGAAGCTGCCCTTGGCTGTCTTTAACACCAGACGCTTTCTACAGTCGTGCCTTACAGGGGAGCAGTGACCAGTCAACAACTCCTACCCTTGTTTGTCTTGCACATCAAGACTTCATTCACTTACTGAGCGGATGTACTCAAGACACACTCTGCATCAGCTCACTTTTCAACTGCGTAACTTTATAACCATTTACTAACCCTTGCTCAACCAACACAGTAGAACACGTGGGAATGGAAAGGGTCTGTAATATCAAGATGTTTGAAATGATAGTTCTTAAGTGTCATGACATTTGTGAAGGCTGAAGTAGTGCTAGCAGACCATTAAACTACTCCAGATTTAGAACTCCATGTACCTTCCACAACTTTTCTGACTTCAACGATTTTTAAAGAAATGCTTTTAACTGCATCAGCATAGATGAAACAAGCCCACTCTGAGACCACGCAATCCATTCACATGAACATACACAAGAAAGAAGAACTGCATACTTAACATATGTACAATTTGATGCTACCAGATGGAGACTTAACATAAGACAGTACAAAAGAAAAGTCCAAACTAAACTTTACACCTCCACATACCCCTTTTTAATGTTATTTTGCACTGTGTACATGAAAACCAAAAATAAACAAAAGGAACTTTAGCCAAACTCCCCTTCCTCCTCCAGCTTTATTGATAGTTTAAAATTACATTTTCTATGTTCTAGGACTTCAATTGCTTTTACCATCTTACTTTAAAAACTGATTACAAGCAAATGAAACTCAGTTGTCTAAGTGATATAGTATACAAAAATAACATCTTGATTTCTGTGAAAATGCATTTATTTGCAACTCCTGAATAGCTCCAAATTGTATATGCTATGAGCACTGATGTCTGGGTTTCAGATTTACTTTGAAGTATTTATTCAAAAGCTTCCCATTACGTTCTGTATCTCCAACATGAACATTCACTGACTGAATTACTGTTACTTTTAAGTTTATTCCTGATTTCTCTCTCTCTCTCATGGCCATTAACAGGCATGTGCATCTTGTTTATTTACTCCCACTCAGCTATATGCTCTAGGTAGGGCCTGATACAGATATTACTTGGTGTTAACAGCTACTGAGGTCAGACAATCCAAGGCCATTGTAATAAAATTAAAGTTATGAGGAAGTTTAGACACTTCCAGAATTTCTTTCCTCCTGCATAGGATCACTTCCATGTAACCCAGAGAGGGTTTTGCTGGTCTGACTCAACTCTTCCCACTCATCAATCCCTATTCACCAGTGGCACGGAAAGGGGGTTCTTTAACAAAGCATTATACATAACACCTCTACCAAACTAAACATAAACATTTTTTGTAGTTAAATGCAGAAAGTTGATTTTTCCACCCCTTTCCTCCTTTTACACGGCAAGTAAAGCTCACTGGCCTGGGAGTAGCCTCTATCTGCCAACCTTTGGCCAGTGAAGAGGATTCAGAGAAAAATAATACAACCATCAATCAGAAAAAGGAGGGGCGACAAAGGAAAATAATTAGGCTGTAGCTTCAATTGTGCATTCCCGTGCAAGGTGCCCTGACTCGCCGCAGCGATAGCAGTTGACTTCACTGGTCTTGCTGCAGTTGATGGCTACATGGCCAGTTTCACCACACCTGGAAAAAAATAAATTATTTTATCAACACCATCCAGAACAGTTACTCTGAAAAGGAATCCTATTCTGCCAAGTACATAAATTCCATGCAACACTAATTCCGCATTCAAGAATTCTGCTTCAGTGTTTCACAATTCTTTGACATGAAGCAAGTTTCTATCTTCACCAGAGCCAGGAACTGTTCCCCAACCAATCAACTCACATTAATCACCATATATGCCAAAACCCCCAATACATCAAATATAGAGTTGTGGGTTTTTTTTTCTATGCATCAGGTTTTGCATGCTCTGATGCTTCTGTCTGCAGTTAACCCTTGTTTAAGAGTAATGAGTTTTAACTCAAATGCACCATGTTCTCTCTCCTCCCTCCACAGGAAGGAACCTTGGTAACGGTGAAGAACGTGGCACTCAGGAATGTACTGTTTCTGGTATAGGTCTGCATTTAAAAACCAGACAGCATTTTGAAGCTGGCATTTCCAACCGATTTAACATCCGCTTCTATGTGCGGTTCCTACAACCAAGACATCTTAAGTACATTCCTGCTGGGGCTGGCTGTGCCAGTCAGCTGATTTGTACAGCTGGAGTTTCTTAGTTCCAGCATAAGATACAGGGTACCCAACTCCAGTTTAAATTTGTGCAAGTACTTCCCGTTACCTGAAGTAAAAAGATATGGCCCTTCCCTTTCTCCTGTACAGCCTGAACAATTTAACACCTGCATTATTCCGGCCATTTAGAGATGTGCATCATCAAATCTATTACTTGCCTTTGCTAGCAGGTGTTTACTTCTAAACAAGCTACCCACTCAAAGCTTAATTTTCTAACCCAAACTAGATACAGAATGCATCTATCAGGTAAGGTGCATTTTGCAGTTTTCTCTCGTCAGTTCTTACCTATAGCATTTCACTTTGGTGCAGTCTTTTTGAATGTGTCCAAACTCTCCACAAGAATAGCACTTCTGCTCATCTGCATGGTCACAGTCACGAGCCAGATGGCCAGGTTTGCCACAGTTGTAGCAGCACTGCTCTCTCTCCCTCTTCGGCTCCTTGCAGTCCTTCGCAATATGGCCACCTCTACCGCAGTTATAGCAGGCTTCCACAATAAGAAAAACATACCAAACAAGACTATAAAACCTTGGTAGAGTAAGATGTAGCATGCTTCTAATGAAGGACATGTACATCTTGTTTCCAGTGAATTACTGGCAGTGTACTGTATCCTTCTCTTCAACCACAGATCTCTGTCCCTGTGATTGAAGAGATAGAATATTTAGTGATACTTACCATCCTCCTGAAGATCACAGTCCTTGGCAAGATGGCCAGACTCACCACAGCGGTAACAAATGTCCGGGAGAGATGAAGACATGAACTGGAAGCCTGCTTGAAATGGGTAACAGGAGAAAAAAAAAGGTGAAGGATTAAATTAAGAATATTCTTAAGAGTTAATCAAGGACACTGTCAGCTGAACTGACAAGTTAACTCCACTCTCAGAGGCCCCTGGCAGAATTGTTACGCAGGGGCAAGAACCAGCCAACAGGTGTCCCAACTCCCTCAGACTAACAAAGCCAGTTTTACATGCTATTCAGAACAGTTAGCTAAAGATCTTGCTGTACAAATACTGAAAACCACAGTGATCAATCACCTCTGCCACGGCTTCTCATCCCACGACCACGGCCAATTCCAGTAGGGCACTCCCGAGCCCAGTGGCCGGTACGGCCACATTTGAAGCATTCGTTGCTGCTCATGGCTGCAGATTACCTGCCTGAGGAAGAAAAACATTTTTAGAACACCTTCTCCTCCCTCAAAGGCTACATTAAAATAAGAGATTTATAGTCTTCCCACCCTCCTGGCAAGGGCAGTGAAAACCAAACAGGACTTCTGGATAACTCGGTACTTTCTTGTACAATACCTGATCATACTATTAAAACCACTGTAGGAGGTAAAAGTTTGTCTCAGTTTTGCTTGGAGTAAGGCAGCTTTGAACAGCCAAAGAAACAATGTGCTATATATCTTTGCCTCTAATTAGTTCCTGTAGCCAGTCTTTGCTTCAGAAACTTACAAAATACTCAGGAGCAGGGGAAAAAAAGTAGATGACTCCTTTAACTACTGTCTTATCAACCTTACTGATGCTCTCTACCAGCTACTTATCTCAACAAATTATGTCTCCCTGGTAGTTGTTACACTTTCTCTCAAAGTGTCTGGCTGGTAGCTACCACATTTATCGACAATCAAGCTTCATTCTGGAAGATAATTTTAAGAATATTAAACCTAAAGCCTTGAAGAGCGCATTCACTTTACATTTGAGGAATTCACTTCTTTTATGACCTGAATAGCAGTCAAACTCTGAGAAACAAGACTTACAACTTCAATATATTAACCTACAGCTCAGAACTACTTCACTCCCAGGCTTACATGAATTTGGCTTCCCTGAAAAACACCCGACACTAGCCAGATATATAGAAGGCTAACTTGGAAAACGTCCTTAGAATGCTAAGGAAACATCAGATAATTATGCCTGTCCGAGACAGCATTAACCACTTCTTTTGCCCATATTGGGGAATGGAGGTATGCATTTCATTCAGCAGAAAGTCAAGTCTGCTGCAGGCCACCAAAGCAGTTGTTAGTACGGGGTAGGTTACACAGACTGCGGTCACAGTACCATAACTCCCCTAAGCTGTAAAAGTTACACAAGCCTTCTAGAACTAAAAATAAAAGAACAAGTTTAAAAGAGATTCCAATTTAAATGTTTAAGTGTGCTTGAAGACAAGCTTAAAGTACACTAGTTCAAAAATACACACGTCAAGCTTTGTTTTGATGAAATCTCCTTAAGTTTAAATACTTCACATGCTCTCTCCCAATTAATTATTTAACCCAACAGAAGGAGAATCATTATCTGGTATGTTTGCTCATTTACCTCATCCTCCAATCAAGATAATCCTCCTGTAACCCTACAATTTATTTATGTTACAGAATGCTTCCCCCCTCCCCACCACAACCATCCAGCATTACAGATTACCAGGAATGTTCATGAGTTGTGTCTTGAAGAAAGCCACTACAGAAGCAGCAAGAACACATGACCTCAGGAAGGAACCAGAATTAGCATCCTGACATTTAGCTCTTAAATGGACAGCATATATCTAAACATGATTTTTTAGTTAGCTATTTTTAAAGGACTCCAATGTTGAACAAATTTAATATGGCTTTTTAGACATCCCTCCCTCAAAACAGCTCCTCTCTTCCTCCGGTCATCTTAAGCACAGCAGTGATCACCCATCCTTCAAACCACAGTAGAAGCCTGAGAATTCAAAGTACAAGAGATAGAAACTTTATAGTATGTTGCTTCTGTAATCCCACATCTACCTTCCAGCTGGACCAGATGTTGATATTTGCTCTTAAAATTAAGTTCTGCAATGAAAGGATGTAGGAAGATCTTAAACAGATGTTAACAGGAATAAAATGCCTGGTTGTCTGAGCAATTAAGAGATATACTTGGATTTTACATGTAACCCAGATTTCTCTGCTTTATCTCAGTGTTCATGATTTCAAACTATCTTATTAGGACACCCAAGTGTGAAGAGCTGTCTACTACTGTGGCAGCAGCTGGCACTCAGTGCGCTATTGTTGATGCCTGTTTTCATAGCAACCATGTTGACACTGCAGAACAGGAAAAACACAAGCAAAGACAACTGCAGGGGCTGGGCTCAGGCACAATAGTTGACACTGCTTTTAATTTCAAGGGACACAAGATGAGGTGCCTGAATTATATACCAAGATATATTCTTCACTCAACTTGCAACTCTCAAAAAAAAAGTCTTCACCTTAAAACATTAGAGAAAGCAACATAAGACCTGTTAAAAAGAGAAAAATAGTATGCCAACAGCTCTAACAGAATTGCAATGTATCTTTGCAGATACTAACAACTACCAGACTTTTACTCCAAATCATGAGCTTGAGACTACAGCATGCAGTTACCCATATGAAGAATCTAACATAACCAGCTAGGTTAACATATGGGAAAAGACAAATGTTTTAATAGGTGAGCTAGATCTGCTTTAGATACACAGTGGAAAAGTTTTAACACTCAGATTAATCTGCCAGCCGGTATCTAGTCTGTCAATCTGCCAGTCAGGATCTGCACAACTGACAAAAGCTCACTACTCATTGCCTCAAAGGAATCTGAAAGAGAAGTTCTAAATCTGATTCAAAGTTGCTGCCTTTTTAATTCCTCCTTCAAGATGAAAACCTCAAGTTTCTTTTCCTCTGGTATACAGCAAATTGGCAAAATAAGATTACGTAAACTTAGCAAGAAATCTCAATTCAAACAATAATCTCTTCACAACTATCCTTCAAGACTATTTTGAGAGATTCAGTTAAAAACCTTTCTCTTCAAAGGCCCCTTTGCTCTGAGCTGAGAGATATTTGAAGGCTACAACTGCCATAGAAGTACAATTACAAAGCACGCTGCTCTACCTTCAGACACCTTAAGTATATGAAAGTACCCGTTTGCCTGGAATTTCTCTTCAGCAGTCTTCTAATGTTTAACTTCTGCATTCTTCCTGTAAAGGATCTGAAACCGAATACAAGCTCACCAGCTAGGGGTGGGTGCAGCTGACACTAGTTTTACTTACCTCACATTCTGAGAAGTCTTATACAGGACAAAATTCCCCACCAGCGTAAATCATTTTATAAACCAATATAAGGATTTAGTTTTCAGATAAAGCCAACAGCCACCTTTAAAGGAGCAATATCCAGAAAAGGCCGGTTCAGAAGACAAGTCCTTAAATGGACAGCAGGTTGAACACCATTACATTTTTCAGTTACTTCCAAGAGAAAGAAATGAGTACAGTAAAAACCACCGAAGTTCAAATTCTCCTCTATTAGTCAATATTCCTCCATTTTGTCATCACAGGCAAGTTTCCAGCAGTTCCTTTTATCTATCAAGGCCACCTTAAGTAAGCTTTCTGCAAGAAGGCTGCTTGTTTAAGTCTTCTTGGAAAGTTTTCACTCAGTCACAACTATTAGTGTTTTCTGCAGTTGAAATGTGTTATACAAAGCAGCTTTCCCTCCCTTCCTCCCCTTCCCTGCACCCTTTATGTCCCAGAACTAGATTTTTACCTCACCAGGACAAGAAAATGGAATAATGGAATACAAATTACAACTATGGCCTCATCTAGCATTTCTCAGTCAGGTCTAATTCTGCAAGATCTACCAAGCCACTGCCTCTCAGAATAGATTCCAAAACTTGAAGAAACACAAGCCTAGCTGTCTCAAACCTTACCTTTCTACTAAGGGATAAGGTAGTTATTTACCTGAACTCCTTCTACAGAGCTCTGTCTTGAAGCTGAAATAAGTCACCTTGCAGCTATTCTGCAAAATACTAAGAATGAATTTTAGACTTTGTTCTGTATCATTATCCTACTACTAAAGATCATGGGCTGAGAACAACTCAGTGATTTAAGTGCCACCACAGTGGTTACACCTAGGCCAGATTTGAAGCTTTTGAGTGCACCTTTAGCACCAAACTTCAAAGTGACAAAGTTTCTTTGTGATTCTTCTAGTGATATGAGAAACCTTGAAGTTTCTTGTATCAAGCTTCAAAGTGGAAGATTATGGCTTTACAGTTAATACACATTCAAAACTTTTAAAATGGGAGAGGTGCTGTTGATCTCCAGTCGTCACACACAAGATTCAACAATATCCAAGTCTGTTTTAGCAGCCCATCTGGACCCAGTGATGGAAAAAACTACCACTATGCTCCACTGTAATACTCCTTTATTCTATGGCTTTTAGTCTAGATGCCCTCTCAGGAAGACGTTTAATAAACAAAAGTAAAACTAACTCGGGCTCCTCATAGTAGAAAGGAAGCTGAACTTCATCTTTAAGATTACTCAAGATTCTTCTGGCTAGTAGCAGCTCCTTAGAATTCAACAGCCCAACAGGGACAATTATCTTTATTAAATTTACCAGATGCTTCTTTTGATCTACGAGTATCACTTCCATTTGATATTAATAGGACTTCACTCCTTCAGTCAAGGGACAGACTAGATAAAAGCCACTGCTAGAGCCTGCATACTTAAGAGCTCTTTGGCAAGTCAGCTATATCAGAGGCAAACATTGAGAAATCAGCAGTTTCCTTCCAGGCTGTTGGTGAACAACCTACAATGTCACACCTGAATTTGACAAGCCAGCCCAGAGACAGCATGAACATGGCAAAACCCTTACGTAATAGGAAGCATAGGTTTGCTTTCCTGAAAGATAAAGAAACAGCAAGGCAGAAAGGACTGCTAACTGAAGTCCTAGCATTTAGTTTCAAAAGATAAGTCAAAATATTACTTATTTAAAAAGAAATGCTACCCATGAGAAGTTTATTTCCCAAGAAGCATGTTTTGAAAATTCCTGAACACAGGACACATGACTGTCAGCAAAGCTACTCAGTATTCGGCTGGTTGAACTTCCCCCATCTGTAACCTGAAAACATGCAAAAGAGAGATTTAGCAATGCTCCCATCTCCGGCTTTTGCCCTCGCTAGAAGAAATACAAAATTAAGTATTCTGACCACCAGGTAACAGTACCCCAATTCTGAAGGGAAGTAGCTTGAAACTTCAAGAAAACCTGCAGAAGTGCAAAACCAAGCCCTACGCTCCGTATGGGTCCCCTCAATACATTCCACAGCCCATCTGATCCAAGAATGCTGAACATTAACTAAAACTCAAGAACTTGGATCCCTACTGAGGGGCCAGAAGCCAGGTCAGAGACATCATGACTTCAATTAGACCAGTAATTCTCAGATAGCTCTCTTGACATAAATCAGAAGGAGAGCAAAAGTTCATTAAAAAAAAGTGACTGTAGCACTTCATGCCTATCCATACTAGTTCATATAGACAGGAAAAAACTATAGATTTTTCTATCAAATATGCACATTCTACCTCTTTCCCCTTTCTTACTGCTACCAGTACTAAGTTTTAAACTTTAGGAGAAGTAAGTAACATTGGCAACATGCTAACTTTTTAACATAAAATCCAGTCCAGAAGTTTAAAAAACATCGTAGGGTAAGCCTGTAACTCACAAGGTTGTTGCGTAGCCCTGGTGAACTCATTTAATCTCTTCACTTTGAAGACAGATACAGGATTGCTTCTCTAAGCAAGTTTGCATTGAGAAAGAAAAACATGGGACTAGGCAACCCTAAACACTGCATGGTAATGGGCTCTTACTAAGTGCTGAAATGAAAATAAAACCACTATTAAGTTTAATAATTTCTGATGATAATTCTGGATACTATATGAGTAACAGCGGTTACTCGAGAACTATGTCTGACAGGAACTTAAATAAAAGGCTGCTCCACTAGTCCGTGATCTGTAGATGTCACAGGCTATTTTTCCTATCCATTTATAGGTCACAGTTGGATTTGGAGCAGGCCACCATCCATGCCTGCGGTCGGAGACAAATAGTTGCAACACCTCGACCCTCTTGTCTCCGGCAGAGCCTCACACGTGGGGAGCCACGTGGTGCGCGCGGGCCCCGCCGCCGGCCTGCCCACTCAGCCACGGCACAGCGGAGTTTAGCAGATTAAAAAAAAAAAAAAAAAAAAAAAAAAAAAGAAAGAACAAACAGTTTTATTTCAGCCACCTTCCACCCAGTTCCCGGTCTCACAGGATCTCCTCCTCCCCACAAACTCGCTGCAGCCACTCACCCACGGGGAAGTTAAGTCACACGCCCCAGCCCGCGCACCGAGGGCCGGGGCGGGCGGTTCCCGCTCTCCGCGCCGCCAGGCCGGCCACCGCGCCGCCCTCCGCCCCCGCGCTGCGGGCCCGGCCAGCGGGACACGTCGCCGCAGCCGCCGCCGGCCCACGGCCAAGAGGCCGCGCACCGCCGCCGGCCCAGCGGGAGCGAGCGCCCGCAGAGCGCCCGAGCGGCCCGGGGCAGCCCCCTCCCGCCCAGCCTCCCTTCCCCCAGAGCGGCGCAGGCTCCCAACGCCTCCCGGAACCCGCCAGAGCCTGACTCACCCGCCGCCGCCACCGCCCGCCCTCGCAGGGCCCGCGGCGCCCCGCGGCTCCCACAGCACTCCCCCCACCGCCCCCCGCCCCGGGACCCGCACCCCAGCCCCAGCGGGCCGCTCGCCGCCACTTTCCCGCGCGCTAGGCCGGAGTGCGCCAGCGCCATCATCCCTCCGGGACTCAGCTTTCGCTCCCCCACCCGCGGCCCCGGCAGCTCCCCGCGCCGCCGAGGCCGACCCGGTGGTTACCTGCGGACCCTCGACCCAGCCGCGGCAGCCGCCCGACCGTAGGCCCCGCTCGCTCGCTCGCCCCGGCTCTGGCCGCCCGCTCCCGGGTCCCTTCTGGCTGCGCCACACGCGGTTTGCACACGGCCCCACGCGCTCTTCCCCCCTCCCCTCCCCTACTACTCTGCGCACGGCTCACCGGAGCCCACCTCCCAGCCAATGGGCGCAAACCGCTTTTCCGGGTGGCCAATCGGAGTTGCGGACGGGAACACCCAACCATCGCAGCGGAAAGGTGGGAGGGGCCCGCCTACTGGGCCTCCCCTCGCTCGCCTGCGGCGGGTGGGCGGGGCCGGGGCGGGCCGGAGGGCGCTGCGGCACCTCCCGGCCCCGGCAGCTCCGGCTTCCTCCCCGTGCCCCCCGCCCGCCTCTCGCCTGGCGCGGCAGGGACCGCCCGGGAGCCCCCTCCCTCCCTTCCTCCCCCCCCCCCTTCCCGCCGCGGTCCGGGTGCAAACCCCGCGGCGGGTAAGCGGGCGGGGGGGCTGCCGCCCCGGGAGAAGCCGCTCGGCCCCACGCGAGATCGGGTGGAGCGGCCGGCGGGGAGCCGCTCGGTCGCTCGCCCGCCTCGCTGCTGCCGCGCAGCCTCCCGCCTCTCAGCCTCAGCAGACGAGCTCCCCGCTCCCGCCCCTGTGTGTCGTCCCCCCCCCCCCCCCCCCCCCCCCGCATGCCCAGCGAGGCTGGCGGCGGACTTGCCGCCTCCGAGCCGCCGCTTCACTCCCCCCCCCCCCCCCCGCCGCGGAGGCCGCTTCGGGCACCTGTGCCGCCCGTACGGCGCGGAGGCCGCCGGCCCAGGCTGAGGGGAAGGGGGCAAGGAGCCCGCGGGAACGCCCGCCGCGGCGGCAGCCATCTTGACGGGCCGGCTTGGCTCCCGTCCTGCCGGTAGCACTAGGAAATGGTGGACACGAGGCGCGGGCGCGCGGGGGTCGGTGGTGTCTATCGCGAAATAACCATCTCCTGTAACTTCATTAGTGCTGGTGAGGACACCCGGTTAATAAGGCTTCTGATGGTTTCACATGACACAGCCAAAAGGCACATGGAGGAAAATGGTTTTTGAATTGAATTTCTGAACAAAATTTATTCTCTCGGAATCGGCATTACACAAGTCTCATAAACAATGTTCCTACTCCGTACTCAGCTATGAGGATTCTTACACAAGCCCTCTCCCTTTTCCCTAGGCACTTTGTAAATGAATGGGCAACTAACTACTGCACCAAACCCAGTTCTGAGTGAATGTCCTAGGAAGTGCAATACACCAGCAACATCCACAATCATTCTGTGCTTGTGGTCATCATCGTTTTGTTTAAAATTCCCCCCTTTAAACTCCTTGTTGAAATGTCTTTTCCTTCCTGTCGGTTATGGGAGCCAGAAAGCCCTGCTGGGGACTCGTAAGTAAAATATCCGTGTGAGGCTGATGGTGGAGATACTTTGGATTGACCTTTCCTCAAGCTGTAAATCTACTATTATAGCACTACAGTTAGGTTTCTTTTATTAGAGTATGAGTAACAAGATACGTCTTTTCCTCGGTGATGTTAGGTGCAGTTCATTTAAGATGAACTTCACTTGGTTTTATTTGTATTTTGTGTGCTGTATTTGCCTATCTGTGTTATGTGTTGTATAATATGCCGTATTTTCTACAGAACTAAACCAGGCTGGATTGTGTTAGCATCGAGGTTTGAAAGGGGGCTCAGGCTTTCAGGCCTATCTCTGCATGTTACACTATAGTGTCTTACTAAAACTTTTGCCAAGTCTCATTCTGGTATTTGTTTTACAGCAATGTAAAAACATTAGCATTGCCAACAAGCTTTGAACTCGTAATAACTTTTCTTCCCATTAATTACTTTTTTTCATCTCTACTGTTATAATTCAGCATAATTTTCATGGCCTTTGGTTGCCTTGGATACATTACAATCCTGTTCACATGTAGTTGCACTTCTGGTTTTACTACTCTTTTCAGGTGAAAAAGGGAAGAAAAATAATGTGCATAGCTAAGGAAGTGCTCAGAGCTTTTAAATCATGAGTGTACCTACACTGCATTAAAAGAAAACAAATGACAGATCCGTGTCACTAAGAAAGAATGCAGAGAGTAAATCATATATCTTCATTTTTTTCATCAAATCTTTACTTCTTTTAAAGTACTAGAATCCACCTTCTATATGAGTCTTCATAACAGGACTCAGGAATTTCAGACTGACAGAACAATACAACTTCTCTAACTTTTTCTTCTGTTTTACTGGTTGTACTTCTGGTACTGTCCTTGAGGCTAGGAATCTCCAAGCTTAATCTTGATGGCAATCGGTAGATTTACTGTCATCGAGAGTTTTTGTCACTGATACAGCCAGTAAATTCCCCTGAACAAATCACCACTCTTTACTTTATTTGAAGGAGCTTCAAATCATATCCTGGACTCTCCCTTTGCTGAAGTGGAAATAGGGTGCAACTGTGAGTGAAAATGTGTTATTCAGAAGTGTTACTGCTGGTGACAAATCAATTAATCATCCTCTCTAAGTGTACTGCCTCAAATACAGTTCCAGTGTTTTTATAATATAGGATATTTTTAGCTATGTTTCATTATAATGGATGAAATTTTCCCCTAGCAGATAATAGAGTCTTCTAACAGCATTTGGTTTGTGTACTTACCTCAAGAATTAATTTGGCTTGTATTTTAATAAATCTTGCAATTCTTGTTTTGCAGGTTCCTCTGTTATTTAGGCAAAGGATAGTCTTGCAGTTAAAGAACAGAAGTGAGAGGCATGACATCGGTTCCTGGCTGTTAGTACTTCCTATAGAAAACAAAGTAGACAGAAAACAAGGTAGAAATACAAAGTCTTTAAATTTCTTATGTGCAAGAGAAGACAATTTTATGTCTGGTCCACACTTCTCTGTTGTGTTAGCTCTGCCCCAAAAATTTCAAGCCACAAGAACAATTCATGAATAACAGTACTCAAAGGCGCTCCGGTACAGTAATAGTTGAAGGTAATCTATTATTTCAGCAATATATCTTTCCTAATGCAGACAGTTCTTAGAAGTGTTGGATGAAGAGCCAAATAATTTTAAGACCACACAAAACAACAAATCACATTTTGCAACCAATGTTATTGCATTGTTTTCATCTGTGTGATTGGACATGTGGGTAGAAAACTGCTTTGGTTGCTGGGCAATTGTCATTGCTCCTCAGCCACATATTTTTATTGTTAAAGAAAATCTTACTTCATTTTGTATGTGGGATTTTTCAAAACCAAGGAGGCCTAAAATAATTGCTCTGGATCATAAGTATTCAAAAGGGAAACTGCTTTTGGGGTATGGTTTAGTTGAAAACAACTTGTCAGCAGCAGTTTTGGAACAAGCGTTAGCTGTCACCCGTTCCTTCCCCCATCCCCAACCATTCATTTCCCGTGACAGGAGGCCACAGCAGAGCAGGAATACACACCCATCTTTGCACAGCTCTGCCCCTGAATGCTTTGCCCTGGCCTCTGCACTAAATTTAATTCCAATGGTGTAAGAATAACAAAGAGGGAAAGTATTTGTTTTTAAAGATTGGCAAGTGACGTTAGCCCTCTAAAATCAATAGATTTCTTGTGACAATCTGGATTTCAGTGTCGCATAAGAGAAACATTTTACCCGATTTAAACCCAGTGGGTCAGCAATGTTCACCAAGATTACTTCTGTAAAAAGAAAATCATGTGTTGCTGAAAGAAACAGAGTCTTTAGTCAGCCCTGTAATTCTTTAAAGAAGTTATAGTCAACTGGCTGTTGAAAAGAGGCCTGATAAAACACCCAGTGAAATCAGATGGTGTATTGAGGAAGGAAAGACTCAGTCTGGTTAATACTTGTCCATATAAATGACAGTTCAGGAAGCTACAGTGGTGATTTTAAGAGACTTTTGAAATATAGAAGGCATAATCCCCCGGATGATGCAACAGAAAACAGGAATGATGTGGCTGCTTCTTTTATAAAATACTGATATTTATATTCAAGCTTCATGGCTGAATTATTTCATAGGTTTATGTATCCATTTTTTTTTGAGAGTGTGTCTATGCTAAATTAGCTACATATACTGACTGATTCCAGATGCTTAGTTCATTTTGATTTATTATAATTAGCTGATGAGATTTCAAATAATTACTTTTTTAATGTAGATAAGAATGTAACGAATACAAGAATGATTAGTTAGCTCATGACTGTTGCCCAGATATCCACATTTAGAGTCAGGCAAAAAGAAGTTCCTTTGCTAACTAAGAAGTCCAGCTACACAATCATCCTTCTATTTCAGTAGCGAAACCCTTAAATTTGTCTGAAAAACTACTACACGGTCTCTAAATATTTTTTTGAGATACATAAATATATGCAGAAACGCATTTTATTTGTCAGGCACCGGAGAGGGCCGGTGGCTCCCCTGGGGGCAAGGGGCCAGGAACCGAGCGTGATACCGGCCCCACAGCACCCAGGCAGGGCAAGCCCAGGGGTGGCAGCTGGCGTCAGCCAGGAGTGTGATCCTCAGACAAGCTCATGAGGAGGAGGCAGGTCTGAGGTGATGCCAGGAAGTCAATTTGCAAATCAGGGCAGGAACCAGAGGGAGATGCGGTCTGGTGATTGCCAGGCAAGTCCACGGTGGCAAGGCAGGGGTGAGATGAAGCCAGGAAGAGCAGGCTCAGATCAGGGAGGTCCATGGCCAGGCAGAGATGTGGCTGTACCACAACTGGATGCGGAGCTGGAGACCAGCACCCCCAGCATAGCTCAGGCAGGGGCTGAGGGCCCGTGGGCAGGGCTGTGGACACAAGCACCAGGAAAGGCTGGTCAAAGCAATTAAAGTCTGTTAGTACACTCATGGCCCTGACATTATTAAATGTGCTTAGTGACTCTGCTGTGTTTTTAAGATTTAACGTATTTTAAGGGAGTGCATTGATTTTTCACTGCTGATGGAAATGACTTCATTAGCCAGACAGGTTTTTTAAATGTGCAATGAAGTTTATAAGTTACATGAAACTGATTATTCAGAATGTCCTGTGGAATCAAAAGTTAGAGTATACACGGTAGGAAGAAGGGCAGACATTTTCAGGGCTCAGTCCAGGGAAGTGCCTGAAGCATCAGGTTGCTGTCACGTGA